ATTTGCCCAATTTCGGGAACTTTATGCAAAGCCTATCAAACGAGGCCAAGAAGAGAAAAGCTCCAAGGCTGGTAGGTTTTTCTAAGACTTTTTTTGGAAGCTCACATATTGAGTTGGCTCTCAATAGAAAGTGCCTATGCTAAAAGGCGTTGTTGGTATCTGCATGAGATACTTAAACCGTTGATCATTCGTAGAAATGAAAATATTCTGGTGGGTTGGAAGTGGTTGTTTTTGATAGGCAAACGACTAACTTGAGCATTCTTAGGCTGCAACTATACCTCCAAAGTATGAATATACGCTTTTCGTTCCCCTCACTGGACTGCAACGACATCTTTATCTTCAAACTTTAAAAGGAATGAACTTCCTTTCTGGTCAAAAGAGAATGAGTCACTTTTTAGCAATCTATATTTTGTGTCTTATATGTTCAATACCAGGTGTTTTAAGAACATATCTAGAAGTAAGGAATGTTTCTTTTCTTATCTTGTTGTCAAATTTCTTTTATATAGCATAAATACAATGACTGCGATGAAGGTCAGATTAGGAATTCCGAGGATTGGTTTGATGCTCCAGATTTTCTGCCGCTAAAGAAAACGTTGGAGGCAACAACAAGCAAGGAGTATCTGCAGACGTTGTATTCAGTCTTGTCTTTTCCTCTCAATGAATTGGCTTCGCTCTCATTGGATAGTTTTGAAACGGATCCATTTCAAAGCTTTAAACTATTGGTGCTTCTGGAACTCGTTTCTCATAGTTTAGAATTGAATGAGAAAATCATTATTTTTACTCGTTCTATTCCTTTATTGGAAAGTATTGTGAATTTTCTCAATTTGTATATTTCGTCGAATAGAGACTCTATCGGCATCGACTCGTTTGATGGACGAACCCCCATTTTTCGTCGAAGACATCTTATCGAACAATTCAATGAGCCAGATTCACCACTTAAAGTCTTGGTATTGTCCACCGGTACTGGTGGTGAAGGTATTAGCTTAGCAGCTGCGAGTCGGGTAATTATATTCGACTGCAGTTGGAATCCTTCGCATGATATGCAGGCAGCTTGTCGAGCATATCGTTATGGACAGACAAAACCTGTTTTTGTTTACCGTTTGGTTACAAAGAACACTGTAGAAGAAAAGATGTATTCTTTGGGTCGCAACAAGACTGAGTTATCACGGTAAGTCTACGCTTTATAGATCTAGAATAACTATATTTGTCTTAGTTGGGTGGTTGAGAATGACACAAGGGAAGAAATTGTTATACCAGAGTTGAGTTGGAGATATCTCAATCAAACTCGTGATCTTGTTAGTTATGTGCAATATCCATCCGTGACGGATCGTGAAATATTGGAAGAAGACTCAATTATGAATATTTTGGCAAAGTCTCAAGTTGGAAGCAGTTACCCTTTTCTGATGGGATTTTTTAATAAAAGGAAGAAAAGTGAAGAGATAGATTCCTATGGTATAGGACCTGAGCATTATATGATCCATTCCATTTGTCGCTGTGAAGGACGAAAGTCAGATGAATTGTGCTTGGATTCTCAAGAAGAAAGAATTCTTGCTCGCAAAGAATTCGCAAATGATTTTAACAAGATTCTGCACAGACGTAAGATGGTACAGAAAGCTGGATAAAGTCGTAGTGGTTTGTAGGCTCTTTGTTATTTTATATTAGGCTGTTCTTGAATGCAATGTTTTGGCTAAAGCTTTGCTTTGGAAGTATTGGACTGTGATATTATTTCCAAAGAGAGCTATACCTGAGAGGATCATTGGGCACGTCAGAATTTCGCTTTGTTGTGAAGTCTTTGCAGAAGAGGAGAAAGAAGCGGAGTAGTATGATTTTTTCGCACTGGTTTTAATGTACACTATATCTTCGGTATCATTATTATGTTTCAGAATGTTTTAAACTATCAGAGGTGCTTGCAAATTTGTTAGAATGATATGTCTATAATCAGAAACAGTAAACAATTTCATTCGCCCCTTCAACTCGCCCTTCGTACCCTCATGGAAATGCAATTTTCTCTGCATTTTGGTGGTGAATTTCGTTGTTTACGTCCTTCGTTGTAGTTGCTGTTCACGTATTACTCACCGCTGTCTGCAGTGCTTGGTTTTAATGTACTGAACCGCTACAGACTGATCAAATATCAATGAACTTTGACAACTGCTTTTCCAATGTTGGTTCAGATTGGGACCACAACCCAAGAAACAACAGGGATGACTTGACCAGAATAAATGGGTACGTAGAACTAGAGAACGGTAGTAGCGAACGAGTAGACCAAGAAACGACTGGTTTTTATTTCTTTCAGAAATTTCCTTTACAAAACTTCGAGTCAGAACGTGACTGTGACTTTATTACATCCCTAGCTTTCGACCCCACAGGGGAGTTTCTTGCTGTGGGTGATAAAAGCGGAAGAGTCGCTGTTTTGAAGAGGAATATAAAGTCCCATGGGACGAGAAATAATTATACGGATGGTTCTTCTTTTACAAACTTCGAACAGAGAATGGAGCCCAAGGTCCTCATTGGTGAGAATATATTTTTGAGATAATGTCTCGAAGTCTAACAAACCTGATGTAGACAATGTGAGTCAAGAAGAGCAACACGCTGACGGAAGTCTGGGGTATTATTTATGGGCAGACTTTCAATCTCATGAGCCAGAGTTTGACTACCTGAAAAGTCTAGAAATTGAAGAGAAGATAAACGAAATACAGTGGTGCAGACCCTCTGCTATGAATCAACTTCTTTTGACAACTAACGATAAAACAATCAAGTTATGGAAATTACGAGAGAAAAGCCTTAATGTAGCTGCAAGCTATCGGTCTAGTGAGTCACATTTAGAAAATTTCTCGGATAACATTTGGTCAGTTTGCAAAGAGAACTTTGGTATTGTTTATCAACTTCGTTAGTTAGGAACGGGACTCGCTTATCCCCAGTTTCCTGTTTTACTAACAAGAGGGGTGATTCTCGAAGAACTTGTACCGTTATTGCTAGGACTAAAAATATTTACTGCAATGCACATGCGTATCATATCAATTCAATAAGGTTTGTTGTAACAGCACTGTATCCTGAACTCTTTTACTAAGTCATTGCGTAGTCTCAATTCCGATGGGGAGACTTTTTTGAGTTCAGATGATTTGAGGATCAATATATGGAACTTGGAAATACCTCTGAAAGCATTCAATGTTGTGGATATTAAACCTGAGGCCATGGAGGACTTGAATGAAGTGATAACTTCGGCAAAGTGTCATCCTTGTCATTGTCATTTGTTTATACACAGCAGTTCTAAAGGAATTGTTCGAGTAAGTATTACTTGACCTATTATGGAATGAAGTTTAAAATACAAAGTTATGCGATTTGCGTTCATCTGCATTGTGTGATCGTTCAGCACTTGACTTTGAACAGCCTGACTTGGCGACAAATAGTTCTTTTTTCTCTGAAATTATATCTTCAATATCCGACGTTCGGTTTTCTCCTTCAGGGGAATATATATTAGCACGTGACTATATGCATTTACTTTTATGGGATATAAGAATGTCAAATGAACCTCTTTTAAAAGTTCCTGTACATGATTACATTCGTTCATATCTCTGTGAGTTGTATGAGAACGATTTTATATTCGACAAGTTTCGATGTAGCTTTTCTCATGATGGAAAGTTGCTTTTCACGGGTTCATACGATAATAAGGTTGTGGTAGGTTTTGTCTTTTAGGTGGTTGTTTGTTTAAGGAATCATATCTTTTCCTTAGTTTTGTAATACTATGAATGGAGCGACAATGAACCATTCTATTGAAAAAGGCTTTACGAGAAATTCCTTTGGAGGTAATTCCTTTAGGTTTCCTATTCAATTTGTCATTACTGAAGCGAATGCCAAGTATTTCATCCGTCGCAAAAAATTCTGGAAGTTGCTTCGCATCCATTGGAAAATGTTATTGCAACGGCAGCCGGTGCTTATGTTTATTTACATCGTGGTTACTAGTTCCTGCAAAAGTATGTGAATAATAAAAATGATCAGTAGGTCACTTAAATATGCAAGAATAGTTGCTCATTTATTTTATACGCTGCCTTCTAAGTAGCTCTCTACACCTTGAAACCTTCCTGACGCAAACACGCCTTGTGTGCTTCAATAAACTCTTTGCACTCTTATCATAGCAATAAATAGTTAAACAGTGAACGTAAACAATTCTTACTCTCTTCTCCATTTTTCAAAATACATTCGTCGCGCTGCTTCTTTGTTTCGGGACAAGCACAACACATCTTCTTTTTGGGCTTCTACAAAAGAAAATAAATAATAACATACAGAGAAAGTTGAAGCTCTTACTCCTTCGGAATCTACACCATGTGAACAATGGTGACCACTCTGCTCTGAACTACTAGCTGCCGGCAATTCCATAACAGACTTGCACAGTTGTAATCCCAACAATGAATAATACCGATATTATATTTTACCTCATTTTAGACTACAGCATTTTATTACAGTTGGGAAAATTTGCCAACTTGTCTTGTACAACAGTTGCTTGAAAACGAGTTACCTAGCCAAAAAGGTTTCTCTAAAGCGAAAATCCTGTCCATGGTGACCAATCCGTATTGTTCTGTGCAACTCGCCGAAGACCATAAAAGTGTAGTGTTGCTTGATCAAAGACGACTGCCCAACCTTAAAGAATATCGAAACTTTTATTCTGCAAGTGAAGTTGCAGAAGCGATTCGTGAGATGGTGGTAAGAGGTGCGCCTGCCATTGGAGTTGCTGCAGGTTTTGGTATTGCTGTGGAGGCACACAGATTGCTGGTAAGTCATATTGTTGGAGTCAGTGCAATCCGCGAAACTGTAATATTTCTTCTAGAATCTTAGGGACTTTGAAGGCTATAGAAAGGAATTGGAAATGGCTTGTGATTTGCTGGAACGGTCTCGTCCCACTGCAGTTAACCTGAGTTGGGTCGTTCAAAGAATACGGAAACTACTTAGTCAGGAGTACAACTCTCAGGAATCTTTAGAACGTGCAATTATGAAGGAAGCTTCTTTGATTTCTAGTGAAGACGTTGCTGTGAATTACAGTATTGCAAAAATAGGCAATCAATTGATCCCGCATAGAGCAAACATTCTTCACCTTTGTAATACTGGTGCCTTGGCAACAGTGGACTGGGGAACGGCACTTGGTGTTATACGAATGGGACATATTGCTGGAAAAGAAATTCACGTGTGGTAAGAGCGTTTTGTTCATATTTCATGAATATTATTTACATCAAGAAAGGGTTTGTGAAACTAGACCACGTCTACAAGGTGCCAAATTAACTACTTGGGAGTTGCAACAACAAAATATCCCAATGACCCTTATAGTAGACAGTGCCGCTGGATATCTTATGCAAATGAAGAAGGTTGACTTATGTTTAGTTGGAGCAGATCGTGTTGCTTCCAATGGAGATACAGCAAATAAGATTGGGACATACACGATGGCATGTTTGGCAAGACTTCATCATATTCCTTTTTATATTGTAACCCCTCTCTCTTCGATTGATGCTAACATTATTTCCGGAGATGAAATTCAAATTGAAGAGAGACTTTCCGACGAGATTCTTCGACCCAGTGGTGAATCGCTTGTTGCTTCGGAAACTACATCTGTTTATAATCCAGCGTTTGATATTACTCCTGCTTGCTTTATTTCTGGTTTTGTAACGGAAGTTGGCATCCTTCAGCCTCCTTTCACTTTACAAGTCCTCGCTAGGTTAAAGAAAGAATATGCATCGCGTACTATAACTTGAAAAACTTTTTCCATTGACTTGTTCATACTGAAACCATAAAGTGTTGACACTTAAAGGCATATACGTGTTTATTAAGAAAAGAATGATAAAGTATATAGACGTTCGTTTTCCAGCTTCTAGCATTCTTGAATGAGCACTTAAAATTGATCTTTACTGTTTTGTTGCAAGAAATAATATTCGTTCAAGATTGGATTGTTTGTGTAAACCATTCGTTGAAAGGCATAGCTTCTTCGGAAAGCTTCGGTCGAAGAAGTTTCTGATATCTTAAATTTCAATTGCAAACTCTTTGGAAAGCTTATACTGTTGTATCAGTTCCAATTGGCGCCCACTCTATAAGAATTGAGTTTTTTGCTGTCTATTCTGGCGTCTTGTCTGCCTTTATAAAACTTTGCATTCGAAAGAAAACCTTTGGCCATCAATCCTTTTTGAAATATTATTACTTCAAGGAGTATAAGCTGAAGACATATTGTTTAGAAGCTGCAAATACTGGATAGCAGAAATGTATATAGAATTTTGTTCGGAACTTTTCTTCCTAATTCAATGCTGTTTACAAAATGGTTTGAAGACCAACAGATAATGACAAAATGGTACATAATTGATAGATATTCCTTTATCGGAAATGTTACGCTACATTCTCCAAAAATATGCTACAAGTTCTCATCCATCGAAAAGAACGAAACAAAATGACAACAACTTTATCCTTTTCCTTTGCAAAAAACTTCAAGTGGAATTGTAATATGGAGCGAAATTGAGAAAATCGCACAATACTGTATATCATTTTGCACATTCATTACAACTCGAGTATTGCAATTGTTCTCTCTTCAAAAAATGACAAATCTCCAAGGAGTCCTTAAAATAGAACAACTTCAAAAATGCCAAAGATTTCAGAGCCGACAAGAGTCTGCTATTACTTTCTAAAGAATATAAAGTCCAAAAATATCCTAACAGACAACCAACCAATGCTCCAACCATAACCTGATGGATACTATGGTAACCAAGATATATGCGACTGAAAGAAACCGATAGACTACATAAGAATAAGAAAGAATAGAGAAGATTCCTCTCCAAACTAGACAAAGGTTTGTGACTAGAAACAATCAGTCAACCCTGATACTCGATGTCCATCGTACCGTCGTCGGGAAAGAGTAAATATGATACAGCTAGTGACGAAAAACATTGCTTGAGAATGAGCTGAAGGCATACCGTAATCGTTTTGTTCACTTCTACTTGGTCTTGGACGTGCAAAGGTAACTTTCAAAATAACATTAAGAGCCTCATTGACAAGTTGTCCGAATAACAAAGCCTAGACAACAGGTATATCTCAGAGGGTGTCAGAAAACTAACAAAGGCTACCAACTAAACCGAAATATTCCCGTCGAAAAAGAACCAAAGATGTCTCAGCAACATATAAAAATACAGGAGCCAAAGATATAATTGACAAAAGCCAACCTAACTTATCTCCCTTCTCATAAGTAACCAAAGTTAGTTTTAAAGCGACTCTGCCATCCGACATTCAATCCAAATTAAGCGTTGGATTGATTCAGTTGGCGCTACGAAGATGGAACATGCTTGGTCATATAAGCCAGAACAAGTACTTCACTTTTTTCGAGTAAGAGAAGAACGTGGACTTTCACACCAACAAGTTCAAGAGAATCGTTCCTTTTACGGTGCCAATGTCGTTCCCAAAGAGGAAGCAACTCCTTTGTGGAAGTTGATTTTAGAACAATTCAAGGATAGACTCGTACTTATTTTATTAGCAGCAGCTTTTGTCTCTTTTCTTTTCGCTATATTTGAGGTATGTTCGTTGGTTGATTCTTCAGAGTAGGATTCAAAGCTGATTGTATCAAAAGGACATCGAAGGCAGGTTGAGTGCCTTTTTTGAGCCAATCGTTATTCTTCTGATACTAATAGCGAATGCTACAGTGGGTGTCATTCAAGAAACTAATGCAGAAAAAGCAATAGAAGCTTTAAAGGAATATGAGGCTGAAACTGCAACTGTTTTACGGGAAGGACATCTTATCAGTGTTCCTTCAGCAGACTTAGTACCTGGAGATATTATAGAAGTTTCCGTCGGTGAAAGAGTTCCGGCAGACTGCAGAATAGTGCGGTTACTTTCAAGTATCCTTCTGGTTGACCAATCTATTATTACTGGTGAATCTTTGAGTGTTTCAAAGAGTATTGCAGAGATATCGGACCAGGACGCAGTTATTCAAGACAAACACTGCATTTTGTTTTCTGGTACTGATATATCTCGTGGAAAATGTCGTGCAGTTGTTGTGAAGACGGGTTCTGGAACTGAAATTGGGAAGATTAGAAGACATCTTTCGCAGACAGAAGAAGTTACCACTCCGCTCAAACGCAAACTTGACGAATTCAGTGGATTCCTATCCAAGGTAATATTGGTGATATGTATCTTGATTTGGTTCGTTAATATGGGCAATTTCAAAGCTCATGGAAGCTTCTTAAGAGGAGCTTTATATTATTTTAAGATAGCTGTTGCACTTGCAGTTGCTGCTATTCCAGAAGGCCTTCCAGCTGTTGTTACAACTTGTCTTGCTTTGGGTACTCGAAAGATGGCTAGCAGAAATGCAATAATACGCAGTTTACCCTCTGTCGAAACACTTGGATGTACTTCGGTGATTTGCACAGATAAGACAGGAACACTGACAACAAATCAAATGTCAGTTGAAAGAGTAATCGTCTTTGATGGTATTGGTCCCAATGGATTGGCGTTTACGAATGACTTGGAAGTTACAGGAGCAACTTACAGTCCCGAAGGCTTATTTAAGAAACTTAGCGGACGCGAGGCACTGTCTTCTAGACACAGAAATGGAGAAATGTTGGAAAGCCAATATGCAGTTCTTAAGGACCCTGCAGAAACTATTTCACAAGTAGCGGAGTTGGCATGTATATCCACTCTTTGTAATGACTCGTCTTTGTTCTATAATGAGGAACGGCAGATCTATGAGAAACTTGGTGAGCCAACTGAAGTTGCTTTGACAGTTTTGGCCGAAAAAATTGGTGTACCAGATTCATCATTAAATAATACGAGACATATAGCTCCTCCTGAAGAAAAGGCAAACTTTTGTCGTGACTTTTGGTTGAAACGTTATGAGAAAATTGCTACTTTAGAATTCACCCGAGACAGGAAGTCGATGAGTTTCTGGTTAGGATAAAACAAAAACTGGCAAACAATCATTGTTTGTCAAAGGAGCTCCTGAAAGTATCTTTGAACGCTGTACTGGTATTCGGATTGGAAACGGAAAGGTTGCTGCAATGACTACAGAACTTCGAGAGCAACTGAATCGTTTAATAATTAAACTTTCAACTGGCGTACATAGCTTGAGATGCTTGGCATTGGCTGTAAGAGATGACATTCATTCTCGAGAGGAGTTCAACCTGGTAGATACGTCTACCTTCTCTAGAGTAGAGAGTGAAATGACCCTGATAGGAATTGTCGGTATGCTGGATCCACCAAGACCAGAAGTTCATGATGCAATTCAGAAATGTAAAGTTGCTGGAATTCGAGTTGTAGTAATAACAGGAGATAATAAAGCTACTGCTGAAACTATTTGTCGGAGAGTTGGTATTTTTGATGAGTACGAAGATTTAGATGGCAAGTCTTTTACAGGTCGAGAGTTTGATGGATTATTGGATGACCAAAAACGTCACGCAGTGTTGGAGTCTAGTCTTTTTTCTAGAACAGAGCCTGTTCATAAACAAAAGTTGGTGGATCTGTTGAAGAGCTTTGATGAAGTCGTGGCAATGACTGGTGATGGCGTAAATGATGCTCCTGCGTTGAAAAAGGCAGATATTGGAATTGCTATGGGTTCAGGCACTGCAGTTGCAAAGGGAGCGGCAGATATGGTCTTGGCAGATGACAATTTTGCCACAATTGTTGCTGCTGTGGAAGAAGGAAGAGCGATTTACAACAATATGAAACAATTTATTCGCTATCTCATATCAAGTAACATAGGAGAAGTAGTGTGTATATTTACTGCAGCATTTCTAGGCATGCCAGAAGCTTTGATTCCTGTGCAACTTTTATGGGTCAACCTGGTAACAGACGGTAAGCTCTATAAGTGGTAATGTAGTTCAGTTCTTATTTTGTATGAATTTTAGGATTACCTGCAACGGCATTAAGTTTCAATGCACCTGAAAAGGACATCATGTTACAGGCTCCACGTAAAGCGAACGAATCTATTGTTGATGGCTGGCTCTTCATGAGGTATTTAGTGGTTGGTACATATGTAGGAGTAGGAACGGTGGCGGGTTTTATTTGGTGGTTTTTATACTATTCAAGAGGTCCTCAGATGACTTGGAGCGAACTTTTGAATTTTGAGTCTTGTAGACCATCTTCCACTCGTTCATGGAGTTGTGAAGTATTTCAAGATAGAGAGGCCAGTACCATTGCCTTGAGTATTCTGGTGACTATTGAAATGTTGAATGCACTGAATAGCCTTTCAGAAAACCAAAGCATTTTTGTGATGTCACCATTTTCGAATCCTCTTCTTATCTTGGCAATAATTGTTTCGTTTATATTACATTTCATGATTCTTTATATCCCTTTTTTTCAAAAGATATTTTCAGTCGCGCCTCTCAATTTCGAAGAGTGGATGGCAGTAGTTTGGTTATCATTTCCAGTGATTCTTTTGGATGAAATGCTCAAATTTGTATCCAGGAAACTAATTCAAGGCAGTATAAGAAAGCGAAGGTATGTGACGATTTCTTTCAATAATTTGGTTTTCTTACTGTCTTTATTATTAGAGTCTGAAATTTATGAATTATTTCTTTCCACTGTATCATTTTTTTCTAGTTTTGACTATTCGACAATAAAGGAATTCTTTGCTCACATGAATGAGACTGAATTATTATAATGGGAAGTTTTTGTGTGTGGAAGCCAAACACTTGAGCTGGCAAACGAACAAAAATGAAGATAAAGAATGACAAATGATTACAATCACTTGGAGGACTGACTATGAAATTGTGGACTCATTCGCGCAATTTACAACTTCCCATTAGCCTTCCGTGGGTGGTGGACTTTGTCAGAGTTGATATGGAACGCCTCGCAAGTGACTCGGAGGAAAACAAGCCCAAACAAAGTAAAGCTTTATATTCCATGACTGGAAACATAACCAGTGATAATTTATCTGTGGTTTCCCCTAAAAAGCCCCAAGAAGGTGATTCTTGCGTTGGAACAGGCAGGACTTCACTTAAAGCCGAACAATGTGGCGCTTTAGAGGGAAAAGTTTCTACATCCCCCATCAATTCTTCGATGGAATTGGCAAACATTAAAAAGGAGTCTTCGAGACCAACTATAGAAGTGAATGGAACTTCCTCGGACGAGGAGTCTGTTACAGATAGTGAGGAAATGGTGGAGGAGAAAGAGACAGAGCAGAACTTGACATACTTAAAGAAGCTTTCCAAGAATACACTTAATAATATAAGAGAGAAGTTAGTTGAAAAACAGCTGCATTCTTCCACATTACCTGCTTTCAACACACAACGAGATAACTTCTCAACAGAGAATGTGGATATAAAGACGAGCTCACCGTTTACACTTTTGAAGTTTTTCAGGAGTGTCTTAACAGTTGAAAGGTATGACGAGAATGCGGAAGATAAACTGTTAGAAGAGATCGAGGAAAGGCTTCAGTCTGCTAAAGTGCTCCATACTCGAGGTCATTCTATTCGTGCGTTGGAGTGTTGCAAGTTAGCGAGAAGTAATATGGAACGTTCGAAATTATTCCGAAGCTTTTTCGATCGCTTAATTAGAAAGTTGGTGATTTACGAAAGTGATTTTGACAACGCGGTGCCTTTTTTTGAATTTATTGATAAATTGAATCTTGCTGAACAACTTGAACAGGTTAACAATATGAAGCGCAGTAGAGTTTTGACTTATTTCAAACTGGAAAGAATGTCGCAAGAAGATTCAAAAGGGAAGGATGATTCTGGTTTGGATAGAAATTCAAGTTCTCATACATTAGATCTACTCTTTCCTGAGCGAGAAAAACGACTACACGGAGAAATGCACAATGTTTGGAAATATTTGGTAGAATGTTGTTTTATAACTGGTTCTTGTCTTTACAAACTTGGTTCATTCAGTGATGCGTTTGAGTGGTTTCAACTTTGCCACATTTTGGACGAATCGAATTGCAAAGTTCTTTGTGGACTTTCGACAACACTACGTGAAGTTGCTCCTGATCGTATAACGGAAGCTTTGGATTATCTTCGAAAAGCTTACGAATTCGATGTATCGGACCCTGAAGTAGCTCAAATTCTTGCTTCATTTCTTGTAGATATTGGTGTTCGTTTAAAGTTGGCTGGATTGTCGAAAGAAGCGATTTCATATTATCAAGAGGCGCTTTCTGTTTATCCAACCTTTTCACAAGCGTGTTATAATTTGGGTGTGACATTTGCTGACCTTGGAAAGACGGATGACGCTCTTCGTTATTATACTGAAGCTGTTCAATGTAATCCTCATCATGCAGAAGCTTACTGCAATGCTGGTGTGATTTATAAAGAGAAAGGTGATCTTATGACGGCGATTGAGAAGTATAAGCAGTCCCTGGAGTCAAATCCAAATTTTGACTTGGCACGAAATAATCTTGCTATAGCTTATTCAGATTTAGGTACTGTGTGGAAAACGAAGGGAGATCTTTCAAAGAGTGTTTATTACTACAAAAAGTCCCTTTCATTGAATCCTTGTTATCCAGATGCACACTATAATCTGGGCGTTGCCTATTCAGAAGCAAGAAAGTTTGACAGGGCAGTTACACACTATGAACTTGCAATACGATTCAATCCTTCACATACCGAGTCTTTGAATAATTTGGGAGTTTTATACAAAGAAATGGGCAATTTAGAGCGTGCTATTGCTTCTTATAAGGTAGAAACATTTCCTTTAAGTTGCTAAATATTCATTATTGTTAGGCTGCACTTAATATTAATCCACAATATTTTCAGACGCATAATAATCTCGCGGTTGTCTATACGATTATGGGTGCTTGCGACTTGGCCAAAGAGCATTTGTCCATGGCCATTGCATTGAATTCTTCGTATGCTGAAGCTCATAACAATTTGGGAGTGCTGTTAAGAGATGAGGGAGATATTCATGGTGCAATTGAACATTATGAACAGTGCTTACGTACTGATCCTCGTGCAGAGATGACAGCGCAGAATCGGTTGCATGCTCTCAATTATGCAGATGAATATGATGTAGAGACTATCTATCATGAGCACAAAAAATGGGGTGACCGATTCTTAAAACGAATCCAAAAAGAAATGGAGGATGCAGCAAATAGTGGCAATGAAGTTGCAAAGACATTATCCGAAAGAAGAGTTGTCGATTCGATTCCTCGTGGTCCGAATTATCGACTGAGAATTGGATACATCTCACCAGACTTCTTTACTCATTCCGTCTCTTATTTTATTGAAGCCCCTTTGTATTATCACGACTCTGAGAATATGGAAATATTTATATACTCCAATGTGAGTAAACCAGATAGGAAGACTGCACGTTTCAAGTGTTTTGACTCTGTAAAGACGCACTGGAGAGAGATCGTTGGAGAGTCGACTCTTGTCGTATGTCAAAAGGTGAGGCTGGAACTGACTACTTTTGTTGTTGTCATAACTAACTTGAAGGTTCTCTCAAGATTCTACAAGACAGGATAGATATATTGATTGAACTAGCAGGACACACTGCTGGTAATCGATTGGATGTGATGGCTGCACAACCAGCTCCTATTCAAGTTACCTGGATAGGATATCCCAATACAACTGGACTCCCAACAGTTGATTATAGACTAACCGATAACACTGTTGACCCAGAAAATACTATTCAGAAGTTTACAGAAAACTTGTGGCGTTTGCCAAAATGTTTTCTTTGTTATACCCCATCAGCTGATGCTCCTCCTTGTTCAACTCAAATACCTGCAGTGAATAATGGATATTGCATTACTTTTGGAAGTTTCAATGTATTGGCAAAAACGCAAGCGAATACTATTGCACTCTGGTCCAAAATACTTCATTTGGTTCCCAAGTCTCGTTTGCTTCTCAAGGCAAAGCCATTTGCATCATCTTTTGCACGAAGACGTTTTGAATATGTTTTCGAAGCTGTTGGTATCACCCCAGATCGTTTGGACTTGTTACCTTTGTTACCTGAAACGAGGAATCACTTGGAAACATATTCACTAGTTGATATATGTTTGGATCCGTTTCCTTATGCGGGGACTACAACAACATGTGAGGCCCTTTATATGGGTGTTCCTGTCGTTTCACTATCAGCGGCTGGTCAGAATCACGCTCATTCCGTAGGAGAGACGCTTTTGAAATCCATAGGACACTCAGAATTGGTAGCGCATTCCGAAGAAGAATATGTAGATATTGCAGTGTCATTGGCGAGCGATTTGGATCGATTGAAGCGACTTCGCAGTTCATTAAGAAATGATATGCTTTCGTCTCCTTTGTGTGATGGAGTTACGTTTGTAAAGGAACTGGAATCAGCCTATTGTCAAATGTGGCAAGCGAAAGGAGGAATATTAGAATGAAAGTAGCAGAAGATTTTTTTTATTGGAAGATGAATATTGAAAGTACGTATATAGATACATATATAGGATGAATGAAATGTTTATCCAATTGAGGCTTCTTTAGTGAAAAGAAGACCGTTTTTGGAGTTGTGTCCTTTCCACCCCTATGTCATTCTTTTTATAAACACAGTTTGTTATGGAGCTGGTTGTCGTATCCAATTGTTGGTTCTGTTGTATATATAAGTGACTGACTGCAAAATTTCCAACAAATGATTTCTGATGGAGAGTTCAAAATGTCCTATCACAAAATGTCATCTTCGAGAAAACGAATTCTTCTAACCTATCATGTCAAAATATATTGGAAATGCACATAGAATGAGAAAAAAATTCAAAAATGAAAAGTCATGGAAGAATGTGCTCGAAGTACACTTCCCTTCATTCTTCGTAATGCTGCTTCTTCTTCTTCTTCATTGTGTTCATTTTCTTGATGATTCACCAACCTTAGTGAGCGTCTTTCGCTCCATTTGCGATATCTAATTAGAAATGAATCATCCGTGGTACCTTTTCCCGTTGGTTCCGAACAAATTCTTCGCAATGCATCTAGACCTGGACCATATTCTTCACAGCTTTCTTCTTCACTATCAAAAAAACTAAGCATCGAAGGTTTCAAAATCAACAGATTGTCTGACCTCTTGTCGTCTTGGAAACTTTTGGGCGTTGCATTCAGATGAGATAAATAGCTTGCACATAGTTCAAGGTCTTGACTAGATAATTTATAAGGTTTCACAGTAGCTGTAAGAGAACCATCCTTGGAAATGTAACTTTGTACAATATGAACGCTTTCATCCGAATCACTTGTATGAACGTTGCCAAGTTTTCTTTCTTCTAAAGTGTCTGGAAAGTATGGTGCTGTCGTTTGGAAGCGAGTTCTATCATGACTGTCGTGGTACATAGCATTTTAAAAGATGAGTTGGTAACGAGAGGAACAACCCAGATACCTGGAGCTCTGGTTGAATGTATCCGAGTTACTATTCAACTGTCCTCTTTGATCGAGTATAATATTTTCCTTTCGACTTTGTGAATAAAATATAGAAAAACAACAACGAAACATTGGCAACAACTCCGATCCCAACAAAAACGGATAAAAAGAAGTGGTGGTGGCCAATTATAGCCCCATTCAAGGAAACAGCGCCTGGGATCTTCTCATATCTTGACATTCGCTCATGGTTAAGGAAGCATTTGCAAAAACTGATGAGTAGATTCCAAAATATTTCCCAAAATAGAATTTTATTAACCCCAATCCATAATAGTGGATAAAATTAACAAAGCAACAACCACGAAAATGGCTCAATCCAAAGTCAAGGAGTCGAAAACAAGCCCTCCTTCTTGATACTGCATCTTCTCTGTCACAGAATCCAACTGTTCCATGAGAGCAACTTCGTCCAGTGAAGATAATAGCTGACCGTGTCCTCTTTCACATAGCTGTTGCAAATCATAAGAGATCTTTCCATTCCCAAATTTCACGACGTGAAATGTTATTCTTTTGTCCATAGATAGCATATTCTCTAAAATACGAAAGGCTATGGGTGATACTTCCACATTTCCATCAGTGACAAGAAGCAACATAGGAATGAGTTTGGGAGTTCTTTGTTCTTGAATCATAGAAAATGCAGCCTCGAGTCCCGATTCCAACATGGCAACTCCGGAAGGAGCCATTCTTACCATTTTCATAATTAATCTTTCAGATAACGGCTCTTCATATACACATATATTTGCCCTTTCCTTGAAAGCTATCACATCCACTCTGTCTTCTACAGCACCATTTCCTAAACGTTTCATAATAAAGCGGAATATAGCTTCAACGGCACATCCTAGACGGTTTCTATGTGTGACTCTTAAGCTTCTTATTATTGGGAGAGTTGGAGAGCAGTCCTTGGTTGCCATGGAAGCTCCTCTGTCCAGCAGGAAAATTGTTCGATACGAAGAAGAATGACTGCAATGAAAGTAATGACCATTACTGCTAATATAGCCTTGATTGTTAGGTACAGGGCCTTTGGGATCTAAAGGCATGTGCCAAAGAGGAAGATTGCAATAGGACGATTCTCTACTCGATACGATATCAGAGCGGACTGGTGACTCTAATTCTGTTTGATGGCTAAGGTGGCCACATTTCACTGGACAAAGAGCAAATATCTCTCTTTCTTCACTGGTTGCAGGATCTACAAAGCCAATAGTTCTCCAATAGCATTCGTGGGTAAGCTCATCCTTAGGCACATTGAAATCCGGTCCATAGGCAACTGTCTGATGTCTGATTCCTTCCTTTTGACTATTCGTACATTTGAATGCATCTAAGGCGTTACAATACATCAGATGAATATGACCGCGTCCCAAAGCTTTGCAGTACATATTGCACATTTCAGCTTCACCACTTTCACCGCGTTTATACCGTCTGGAACCAACTTCCACTGCTTCAGTTAATTCGTCTGAAACAAAATGACATGCTCTCATATTTCCATGGATAGTATGATGCAACTCTTCAGGGTGTCCAAAAGAGCGAATACAAAAATATCCACAGCTTGGACAACGAATATCACAAAAGTGCTCACTTTCGCTACCACAATCACAATGCCCTTCGTGGGTCTTTCTGAAAGGAGGAATAAAGCGTCCACATTTCTTCTTCAAACCATTTTGTTCCGTTACAAACACATATTCAAATTCATCCAAAGCGCCACGAAATATTCTTCGATTCGGACGTAATTCGGAAACAATTTGACAGATGCCGTTTCGACTGCATGTACCACTGCAAGGATGTTCTGCACCACAGAAATGCTCCACAAAGTTGGCAAACGAGTCATGAAAATGATTTTCAGTTTCTGCACAAGGTTTATTACAACCAGGAATGCAACAAGTATAAGGACACCAAGACTCGTGACACTCATGTCGAGAATGTTCTGACTCAAACGGATGCACACAACGATTAGTACAAGAATGCAAGTCGCAAGGAAAGCCACATAAGTGATATTCTGCATTACATCGATGAGGACATGAATGACCGAAAGGTAATGAACATGAAAAATTACATCCTTCTAAATGACTTAAACTACATTCGACTCCACAAGTATGGTTTTTGATTTTGCAATCATGATATCCTCCATGTCCAGCTACATCGCCACATAATTGTGTCTCCATTTTACTCTGTTTACAAAAGTCGCAATATGATTCGCAACGATGGGAAGTGAGACAGTTGTGCTCACCCAAATGGTTTCGACTATTTAAACAATCCAGATAGCATCTTGAACATCGAAAACTGCAGAGATTCCACTGTCGTCGTAACTTTGCATACGAATCATAATATTCGTGACGCAACAGCATAACGTCACCATCGTTCATGTTGTAACCCTCTAAATTACTGTTCAACCAAACGTCTATTCGATGTATTCTTCTCTCAACAACTTTACAAAGAAATTCTTGAAGAACTTTCCGCCACAGTTTGTTTCGCACCGGGTATCTGTTGTGAAAGCATTTTTCGAATATGTTTACAAGGGGAAGGCACAATTCCACAAAACTCTTGCAATCACTGTCCAACTGTAACTCTTCATCAGGTAATTTAAGAGAAGAAATTTCTTTTCCATCAACGAGTAAATTTTCATCAGCAATAAGATATCCAGTATCCAAATTCGATAGGCTTTCAAGTTCATGAATGCCGCTATTGTCATTCATTTTTCCCCAATTCAAAACATTAGACTGGCAGTTTCGTAATTCTGATATACGAATAAGTGCCTGATCCCGATTCAATGGTGTCCAGTCCTTAGTACAAAGCTTTGACATAAGCAACTGCAAATGTCGACGAAACATTTTGCCGCTTTGAAAAGAAGAAGGCTGCTTTTTCAACGCTTCATATATCTTATTGAGTTGCTCATAATATTTTCTGGTTCCTAACGTAGGGAATGCTGCCATTGCAAACTGTCCTTGATACATCTTTGTTAGGAAATTATCGTCACCGTTATTTCGGCAAACAATTCTCAACTTTGACAAAAACTCTCGTTGCAAGTCATTTACGTCACGAGACTCGACATCTTTCATCACGATATAAAACCTTCCTCGAAAGAGACTGGGATCACCACGAATGAGAGACACACCACTTTGAAAGCGTGAAAATGTAGCTTGAGTATCTCTATCAAAACGCAAATCAGTTTTGTATAAAGTAAGGTTGCTGATAGCGGCTTGAAACACAGAAAGCAACATGTCTTCTTGTTCACTCCTTTCAAACGAACCCAAACCTTCAAAGTCTAAAATTACGTATAAGCAATCTTCTGCGATGCGCATAGTCATCCAAACTCCGTCAGTGCAACGTCCACCAGCAATATCAAATAAAGATCCAGTTAAATGATTCAACATATAGCTCTTTCCTGTGCTCTGTTTACCCATAGAGCTAAGTACTTTTGTAGGACCTTGCCAAGAATATAAAATGCAATCATACATTCCAAAATTGATGGAGTTCGCAAAATGGAGAATTTCTTGTCTTTCAATTTCAAAATCTCCTCGAAGTCCATCTATTAAAGGACGAAAACTGTTTGCTTCAGCTCTTGCTATCTGAATAGGAACCAGACAAATAACATCTTGGACCCACTTACTTAACATGGAAGTAAAATTATTTGTTATCGAGTTAAACAGGTGGGGCAACTCAGAGTATGAATATGTACGAATACGGATGGGAATTTCCTTGACATCTTTGACTTTTCGAGTTTGCTCAACAAATTTTTCCATTTTGGTTTCAACATAAGCATGAAATTTCTGCGTCAGATTCTCTAAGCTTTGATATTCGAACCACGTGGAGTTGAGCAAAACTAAAATGTCAACCTTTTTCTGTTCAACGTTTTCAAGTACTGGTGAAATACAGAATTTGTCCATAGATAAAAATATATATTCCAAGTAGGAGATAACTGAAACTTCGAATGAAATAAGACGCCTTTCCGAGCTGCTTAAGTTGTTCATGTTGGTCACAATTTCGGCAAGGCTGTTGTCCATTGAAAGATGTACCTGAGAAGTTTTCAAACAATTGTTATTCCTATCCAAATAATACAATATCAACTGTGAAGATAGAAAGCTAAACCTGAGAGAGTCAATGTTTTCTTCTGAAAAATCCTTCGGAAGTTTCACCAAACCAAAATATTGCATGCCTCCACCGATATATATTTCAGCTTCTAAGAAGCTTATGTTATCGCAACCGTTCATCCAATCACTGTCGTTTTCCTTGTCTGGTGAGTAAATGGACGCTGTCTCGTCTTCAATATTCCTTGAGGAAACGACTGAACTAGAAGTAGACGAGAACGAAGAATTCAAATCAAAAGAACGCTTCTTTAGTAGCATGAAACATGAGCCATCCGGTGCAGAAAGAACGCCTTCAACATTCTTCGTATTTATGGTTCGTGGCCTAAACATTTTGGTTGAAAATTCGTAAGAACGCATCTTTCCTTCTTCATCGATGAAAATGAGATAAGACTTTGAAGTTAAAAAGAACATGTGGCATACAGAAACGTCATGAAAGACCTGATCTAAATGAATTTCTGTGCTGGTCTTTTCTAACCGCTGCCAAGACTCATCAAAGCGATAAATATCTACTCTGGCACGTTCTGAATCATATAGAGCAACAAAACGACTAAATTCATCCAAAGCAAACAAATCAATACGGCTTTTAAAAGTCTTCAGTCGATTTTTGCCCAACAAAGATTTGTTTCTATCGACAAAAAGTCGGGTATACCCATCACCTTTATCAAAGATGAGGCTGATGAATACATTTCCTGAAACAATTGTAAAGTGTTTCAGTTCCTGAGCTTTAGAGTCGATCAACAAATGTCCTCGATGGGGTGAGAAACAAGGTTTTAAAGGAGCTTTTTGATCAGCCTCTGCTCTCTGGAGGTCTTTGTTTAGGACCTGGATTTCTATAACATCAATAACCGTCTTTGGTCTTGAGATGCATTCTTCTTCATAAGTCAAAACTATTTCTCCATTAGGCATAGAAAAAGGTCGACTCATTTCAAAAGAGTTATTTGTGGAATCTAAAGAAAATGAGGAATTGTGATAACTTGTCAAGGATAATCGTTTTTCAGAAGAATCTTCTGCATGCGATTCTATGCCATGAGCAGCTTCTATAAATGCACAGCCTTTTATAATTAATTTCATGTCACCACAAGAATCTTTAGTCATTTCATACTTGCGATCATCTAGAAAGCTTCCTGTCTGAGTCCGATATCTTTCTCGATACTTGGCACGTAGCTCTTCTGAACGTTGGGATACCAAACTTTCATAGCTTGGTATTGCTGCCAAAATTGCTCTTTGAACCTTTAAAATGCAATTGTGTCTTTCTCTGCCGTAAGTCTTCTTCACAATTTCCTGAACATCTCCATCATTTGAGAAAGGCTTCCCTTGCGCAAGACTACACTCAAATTTTCGCAAAGCTTCACCGACCAAAGTTTTTAATTCTTCGGGATTAGAATGCAGTGAATACCATTCTTTCAAAGTTTTTGTCGTCATCACACGGATAATCAACTTTTTCTGCTCTCCAAAATTTCCCCGAGAAATATACACTGCTGGACCCCATCTCTTTAGAATAAAGACTCTTCCTAGGCAGTAACGTTCACGAAGATCTTGAACAACCAATTTCGGTGAAAACTCTTCCAAAGAGATATAATCATTGACAAGTTTCAACTCTGCCTGATTACTCTCACTCATTTCTTCCTTTTCTTGTGGTGACGTCTGCATATGTTTCAAGTTAACACCAAGTAAGAACCTGTCATCGTTGAGAAAGTTATTACTGGGCAGTCGATGTTCTTCACCACAATAGCTGCATATGATAAAGGAGGCTGATATATCTTCTTTGATTTCTAAAGTCTGAAAATCGTCTAAACAAAAAACATGCCATCCTTTCGAACATGACAACATTCTTCCATTATGAACTGAAACACAAATGTTGCACATAACACAATAGGCATTCTCATCAGTAGCATTTGTGCGTACTAATCGCTCTTCGATTGGAAAATTTTCGTTTAAGAAGAGAACCATGGCATTCTTCGCTCTCTCGACCCACATATCACGCTCTTCAGTAATCTTACTTGGTACCTTGGAAAGCTCCTTCTGCAGCTCTTTCTGACACTCATTCAAAGTTTGGCAAAGAGTTTGATATCGTGCATAACTTGACTCATGGCCGTATTTTAATAAAGTAAGAAACTCTTCATTAGAAAGATTGAAGATTACTTTTCTTGACTTCAGTTTGTCGGATATAAATCCATGGAATTTAGGTAGAGTAAATCGCTCAGTTCGACTAACAATCTCTTTCTCGACACAAGTCTCGTGCTCCACTAACAAGGCATGACGAAAAATACCACTACTCATAAAACATCGATTTGAGTCACAGTCATCAGGAAGACAAACAGAATGTGAAGAACCAAACCGGAGCTTTTCATGCTTCTCAGATTGTAACTCGACAGAACCATAAATTTCTCTTTCGATTTCGTCTGTTTCATCTCTCAATTGAGTGCTTGCGAAGGTTTCCCACTCTTCCTTACTATTCACACATATAATCTGACTACATAGTTCTTGCAAATATCGAATGAAGTTACAGCTGATGTCTTTCATAGAAGGAGATAAAAAAGAAGTGTAGGGAAGCCAGACAAAGAGAACTAACGGACTTTGTTTTCTGATGACGACGTAGATACCTTTTGAAAGCCACATTTCTTCTCCATTCAAGAAACTTTGATAGTCAGTAGAAGAAAGAATGGAGCAACTGTACAAAAATTCAACTATTCCACGACGTGAGCCAAATACTCCCAGAGTTGATACTAAAGTTTTCTTCAGTAGCGAGAAGTCTATGAAATCTCCAATGTCGCTTGTTGAACAATCAGAGAAAGTGTTGCACAGTTCTTTCACTGTTGATTTATTGACAAGGATCTTCTCCACAACACTAACGTCCACAGAATCTTCAACCACACCAATTAACTGTCTTATTCTGCCTGTTGTCTTCGTTTTAGGACTCTGCAAAACTTTATAGTCTGAAAAGTTAGAATGAGTCTCTTTTTTGGAACTTTCCTTTCTGACACTGTTTGCAATCGTTTCAGAATTTTCTGTCGATACTAGCTTCTCTTGTTGGCCGCAATTATTGACATCTTTGATACAAGTTAGAGAACTTTTTTTGGAAGAGTGAGAAACAACTTACTTGTTACAGAAATAGACGAAGTTGTGCTCAGCTCTGAAGCAGTTTTGCTACATTCTAATGGAGAGTTCTCTTCTATCCACTTTGGTAACAAGGCTTTCGGCCATTTCCCTTCAACTGTTAGCAATGAGCTTAGAGCTTTTCGTGAGTGTGAAGATTTTGAACGAGCTTTGTGGACGATAGGGTCACAAGAATTACAATATGGCGCCCAGTGGCATTCACGACAAATAACTGAGCCCACTTCATCCAGACAGTTTTGACAAACAATATCTATATGTCTTTTTTTAGGAAGATTACAAACATGTAGTAGACAGGACTTACCGTCAATGTTATATCTTTCTACAGTAGAAAGAACGATACCTTTGTTTTTACACTTTAATAAATTATTCTTATCGCAAACCTTACATAGTGCAAGGTTTAGTGGGTGCCAATAGAAAACTGATCTACCACTGCATAATCCACAAGGGACAGTAGCAGTGGTATTCTCCAAAGCATCATTGGTTTCTTCTGTTGTAGACTCTAGGGTTTGTGCAACTGTGCCATTTCTGCTGTTGGCATGTGAAGAAGTAGATTGAGTGGTCGGCTTTTCACTTTCATATCTATGTGATGAACAGCTTACGAAGGAAGGTGCACGAGACATTCCTTCCCAAATGCAAATATTCGAAAATGGCGGGCAATGAGCTTCATGTTTGGTTGATTAGGGTTTATGAAACCCAATTCATTCCTCTTTTCCTTTCTTGCAAAGCCTTGAGAGACATTTTATTCGATTTGAAATCAATGTGTAGTTGGAAATGAGTTGAACGATATTTCTATTATTCTTAGGAAAAGAGAAACTACTGCTTAAATAGCTCAATTGTTGGACAGGAAGTATGCTAAGAATTCTTGCGTATTCATCAGTTGGTTTTATTTGGCAAGCATATAAAATAAAAAGAAATAATCATGATAGAATAGTCCAAAGTATTTTACCGAAATAGTATTCTATTCAGAGTAGGAAATTGTGACTATTTTCAAGCGCAGAAATGTCCAATTTGTCCTTGATGAGTTTGTTTTCGACATCAAAGACTACCTACAAGATCTTGGAACACTTCGTTGAGATTACAGTTCTAGTAAGCTTATTCAACCACTACAGATTGGATACGCTGAATTTTATGTTCTCTCGTTCCAATAATGAAAAATTAGATCTTGTGAAGTTTGAAAGCTGGGGATAGGAAAGAACTGAGCCAAGTTCGAGTAGCTACTCATTCTTTTTCCAATGAAGAAACAACCAGAGGATTCCACTTGAGTCTCCTATCGAGAACAATCCAAAATCAAAAGGGCTCAGTGGCAAAACAATTTTAGCAAAGCAATGATTTTCTTGGATCGGTGCAATCACCTGAATTTGTAAACAACCAAGCCTTGAAACTTTGCTCTATACATAGCTCGACTGCATGGATCCAAGAGTGGTCGAGGAGAAGATACCACTATTGCTCTCGAAAAAGGAACGCGTGAATGCTTCAAGAGGTGACTGTCTTTTTGATGGTAACACAGTAAACGGTGTAACCAATGACAGTTCATCTTGTCTTGACTGGGGATCGTTACTGGTCGTTTACTTGGTAACTTTACTTTCAGAGTCTTCGAGAGGCTTGTTTCTTGCTTCACAGTGGCCTTATCTTGAAAGACTAGGCGGTACCAAGTCTTTGCTTGGTGTATTCGTTGCCTTGTTTTCTGTTGGAAGAATGCTATCGACAGTGCCACTAGGCTTCCTTAGTGATCGGTTTTCAATCAAAACTGTGTATCTTTGGTGTACTGTATGTCAAATTTTTGGTCATTTCTTATACTGTGTGGCTCCTCGAGTGTCGATTCTTCTTTTGTCAAGAGTATTAGTGGGATTTGGCAGTGCAACTATGAGTATTTCACGTGCTCACGTCACCAAAGCGACTACTCTATTGGACAGAACGAAACACTTTGGTTACCTATCTGCTGTTCAGTTTGTGGGGTTTGCAGTTCTCCCCTTGGCAAATGGAGCACTTGCCGAGTTACCTATGTTCTCATGGGCCTTTATTGTCTTTGATCCTTTAACTTTGCCCGGTTGGACATTATTTGCTGCCAATTCACTAGCCTTACTTATTATTATTTTGTACTACCGTGATCCCGAGTCTACAGTTAGTTCCTCCTCAGATGACAACTATACTAAAAGTGCTTCATTTTACCCTTCCCAGCACCGTCCAGATTTTTCAGTTCTAGGAGCATGTCTCTTCCTGAATGTTTGCTTTCGAGGAGTGATAGCCGAGTTCGAAACGATAAGTTCACCACTTATGATTGATATGTATCATGTGAGTGTTGCAGATACTGGGTTTATCATCGGAATGCTAGGTTGCCTCGGTCTGGCATGGTATTTATCGTTAGCTTGGCTATCAAAATTTCTTGGTGACGCACAACTGACGTTGATGGGTTTGCTGCTGTTATTGATTGGTACGTTGTGGTTGGCAATTCCCACTGGTCGTCCCTCCTTCATTATGTTCCTATTCAATATGGGCCTTGTTTGGAGTGTAGCCTATCCCATTGGACAGACTGCAGTACTTTCCCTCTTTTCAAAGGTACTCAAGAATGTTTCTGTTGGTGGTTTTTTGGGTGTCTTTTCAGCTCTCGGAAGTTTTGCTAGAATCATTTTTGCATGTTTGGCTGGTGGTTTGTGGAGTATCGGAGGTTTTCGTTCCGTCTTCACTTGTGCAGTTATTTTTGTGGTGGCATCCATATTTGTATTTGCATTCGCATTTACTTCGTTTCATGAACAACTGAAAGTCCAAGGTCGATCGAATATTTAAGAGTCGAGTGTTAAGCCACATTTGGGCGTAACCCTCTATGACAGGCTTTATTCCAAGATCTTGGGGAATGGAGGCATCATTTCGAATTGGAGTCTTTAGTAAGCGGGACTTGGTGAAGATGAGTAAGGAGCTGGCGTACTCACTGGCATCCACTGACTTTCTTCACATTTCTCTTTCGTGGAATATTCTGGATAACATCTTTCATAGAATTTGGGGATGCTATATTCTTTGTAGCAAACCTTGTAAGCGACTTCCTGTTGTGGAACATATTTGACACATTGCTTGGGGTTGATGACCTGTTCCTGTAGATAAAGAACGCATTGTCGTTGCTGAATCTTTTGCACCTCATAATTCATGGCGCACTGTTCATTCTTAATTATTTGTTGAGGTACATATTTGATACATTGGCGACTCTTAACTTCTTCCTCAGTTACATAACGCACACACTGCTTTTGTTGTACTTTCTGCATCGGAATATAACGGACACATTGCTTGTCCATAATTTGCTGTTGCATTACATATTTAACACACTGTTGAGCTTTGATTTCTTGTTGATATGTATTCATCGAACATGTCCTATTCTCCACTTTCGTTTCTTCGATGTACTTGATGCATTGTTCGTACCGGATTTTCTGTACCGAGTAATATTTGGTGCAATAATTCTCTTTCATCATTTGTTTGTTCACATATTTAAGGCAGTAACTTTCCTTTTGCTTCTTGACAGGTACTGTCTTGTAGCAGGTTTCATATGCAATCGTTTGAACAGGATACGATGTGTAGCATGTCTGATATTTAACTTGTTCCACTGCTTTCTGACAGTATTTTGTTGGATAATAGCTGGACTGAGACTCTTGAGGATATTGTCCATATCCTCGTTCAACTTTATCTGCCAACTTGTCCTTGGAAAGTCTACTGTATGCTGATGTTGATGGTGTCGAATAGCCTAAAGATGAAAGCTAGTTAGAACTACAAGATCTCAAGTTACATCTTACGCACCATATTCGCAAGGGTATTGTACATATGTCGTATAATACGTTGGACAACTATAAGCCTTTGTCTGTTGTACCGTATAATATGTTGGACAAGAATACGATTGGGTTTCATACGTGACATATGTGGTTGGGCAAGGATAATATGTAGCTGACTGAACTGTATAATATGTTGCACATGGATACATGGTAGCCGTCTGCTCCGTATAATACGTTGGACAACTGTAGTATGTCGGCACTGTTACGGTATAGGTTGTCGGACACGGATACTCCTGTTTCATTGTAGTTGTATAGTAGGTAGGACAAGGATAATATACTGCAGATTGTACTGAATAATACTGAGGGCAGCTGTAGTAAGTTGGAATTTGCACCTCATAATAGGTTGGACATGGGTAGTAGATGGCAGATTGAACAGCTACTTCCGAAGGGCAAGGATAATATACGGCGCTTTCTACGGTATAATACTTTGGACAAGGCACATTCGTTGACTCCATCACGCTGTAATACGTTGGGCATGGATAATACTGTGCCACACTTTTCTGCGAATACATAGGACAGGGATAATATACTGGAGATTGCACAGTATAGTATTCTGGGCATGAATAACTCAGTTTCTCAGGAACCATGTACTGATAGATGTTACACTTTTGTCCTGAAACATAAGTATATTGACAACATTTTTTCACTTTCTCATACTTGAAAGGATGTCAGTAAATAGAAAGTAGTATCTATAATGTGAACCTACATAGATGCACTTTGGAGGATAACTTTGTGCTGGTTCCACGTACTTTTGAAGCTGAGCTTCTGTAACTTGACTCGTATACTGAGAAGAATATGATGAATATGCTCCTCGATAAACACCCTTACTATCAACATCATCGCTTTTGGCCGCATGCGTGAGCTCTGCTTTCACAAGGCATGATATGAAGATACATGCAAGAAAGGCTGACCAAAGTAATGCAGAATAACGATGACTCATCTTTGACCAAGTTCTGAAAAGTAACAAAGAACGTTGTTATAATTCCCAACCTAAAAAATTAGCCTTAAAAAGGATTGTTGTCTTTCTAGAAATGGTATTCATTAGCAGCCTAATTGGCGCCAGCATTGCAAGCATTTTTTTTATGGTGGGTGGTTCAATTCATAAGATTCCACGTCAATCGACCCAGCCCCCTTCATTTTTCTTGCTTGATCTCCGCTCATGGCATCATTCGTTCCAGCGCACATTTACGACAGTCCAAATGTAGTTGGGACAACAGTGATCTGCTTTCCAAGCCATCTGTTTTCCAATGATCCAACGGGAAACAATAAAACACCATGAGCAGGACAACATAACAACACACATTGCATAAACAGCGATAAAATAGTAAATGATCTGAGTCCAATATATTCACTGTATAGTGAGAGACGTCACGTTCTCCCTTTGACTTTTGTTTTCTGAAATCTCCTTGAAGCTTTGTCGACGTAAATACCAAGCAAACCAGATGAATAATGATATAGTTTGGTACAAAGTAACGCAACTCTAGAAGTGGAATAAAAATAAAGGGAAATGCAATCAAAAACTTCAAATATGTTTGTTCCAAAATTTCGAGATTCCGTAGTTTCTCTTCCATGCTGTAAGTGGCCACAAGACTAAATGGAATCAAAGCATATCTCAAATATTTGCGTTTCTGAAAAACACATCGAACAAATAAAAAAGTATAATGTCGTCGATCTGATAGAAGGAAGGGATGCAAATATATGCAGTATCGAACACAAAGAAAGAAGATCATTGCCATAAGTTGCCAATATAAAGAACTATCTCTAAGACTTTTCAAGAATCTAAGGACTAAAAAAACTAGGCGACCATAAGAACGTTTCGTAAATATCCACAAGTATCAACATACCGCTTGGAGGATAGAACAAAAGTTCATAACATAAAAAATACAATACCATAGTAGGGTGAAAAATCTGGTTTCTGTGAGAATATTTCTGCGGTACTGTTACCAACTTACTAGTCTGTGATGTTCTGCGTGACCTATAGCAACCGTTCCTCTCTGAACCAACCATAAACCATAGCCTATAAAACAAACAAAATGTGGCCAACATAAACGAAAACAGGCTATTGGATTGAAAATAAAGTTAGCCAGCAATTTCCATAAGAACGAAACGATACTACGAATGTTAGCAAACAAAGACTTTTTCGAGTAGCATACCTCGATGGTGACATTTCTGCATTGCAGTCGAAAAGTTGACTTGCAAGAATAAGGCAAGAAACAAGATGATACATCAAACTGGTCTGTCGATGAAGAGTTGCAAGAGTTGCAAAAATAGCAGCATTTACAGGTGAACGTTTATAGGAAAACCGAAGACACAGGAGACCAAAGTACAACGATGGAACATCCGTATAATAAAAGAAATAATAAAAAAATAAGATCGGATGACTCCATAAGAAAAGTAACTAGAAGGAATATAATTAGCCTAAAATTCTGAGAAAAAAGTTCCAAATACCTGTGTTGAACTTATGCTGCGTCTTGAGAGTCGTGACCAACTCTTGAACTCCAACCATAACAACACAGCAAAACAACCACATATCAGACGTAAGAACAAGACACTACATATCTGAATATAAAGCAAATAAGATTGAGAATATTATTTCAATAGAATTTCAAGTTGTTATGACATATAGAAACTTACACAGGAATTTAAAAAGGGAATCGAGAGCACTTTAGTCAAAATAGAAAGTAACCAAGGCCACATATATAAACCAGGAGGAGTCGAAATTCGAGCATCGTAACTAAACAGATGCCCTTTACAATAACTTCGTGCTTGTTCCATATGAAGTTCTTCATCCATATAAGGTTGGGGCTTCAGCAGGATAAGCTATGGGAAAAAAAGTGAAAAGCTCTGATATACCCACTTGAAGCAAGTTGAAGATCAAGGTATTCATCCCAAAACTTGTAAAAACCAAAAGAAGCAGCCAGGTGTGTTTGGAAATCATCTCAACTCTATTCTTATTCGAGCTGTTTATGGTGTGAATAACAATTAATAAATAGGACTCGTCTTGAACCGGCAAATTCCTACAAGAAATATCTGAAATGAATTCTTTAATTTTGAAAGTCTTATAACGCCTAGAAAATAAGTCGAGAAATATACAAACCTAAATAAGAAACATTTGTAATATTTCTAGAGTCGTGTTAAATCTAACGATTCAATCATTCGTTTTCTTCTTTGAGTTGCTTTTCCCATGAAAGACAGGACACTAAAAAGTCATCTAACGCTACAAAGCCATCAAACAACCAAGGACAACCCGATATCAATTACCTTCTCCATTCAATACTTTTTCAGGATTTCGATGTTCAAAGCCTGTACGCATATCTTTCACTAACTGATAAGGTGCCATAACGTACGATCGAATTTGATTTCCAAACTGTGCATCCTTTGAACGCTCCGATATATTATTAATTTCTTCTTCTCTTTTCAACTGCTCTACAAATCATTTTAGAGCAAATCATACATAGAAAAATTGTTTTACCTAGGTACTGTAGCTTTGACTCTAACACCTTTAAAGCAGTTAGTTTATTTTGATACTGCGAACGCTCTGACTGGCACTGGACTGTAATGCCCGTTGGAATATGAACAATGCGAATCTGCAATACAAAGACCAACCAATAATCAGAAATAACTCACCATTAAGCTCCGTCACGTACCGCACTTTCGGTTTTATTGACATGTTGACCTCCAGAACCAGAAGCGCGAAATGTGTCGATCTTCAGCGAGCCCGGTTCTATCAGATTCTCCTTCACATCTTCACCAACATCAGGAATGACAGAAACTGCAACAAAAGAAGTATGTCTACGACCTCCAGAATCAAATGGCGAAATGCGAACCTGAATAGTTCAACTCTTTTCATTCTCCCAAGACTTGTACTCACCAGTCTATGAACGCCTGCTTCTTTTCTCAACCAACCAAAAGCACATCCATCACCGCCGTCAATCTTCAACATTCCTGAACGAATACCCGCCACCTCTCCTTTATTCTCATCAACAATATCCACAATATATGAGTGCTGTTCCGCCCAGCTGGAAAGCCAAGTCAAATCCTACTCTTAAGCACAGATAAAAACAAAAATACCGGGTATACATTCGAAATAGTATAGAACACCAGTCCATACTTTCAACTCCTCCTGCTCCTGAATGCAACTCCAAGTACGCACCTTTGTGAACTCCGTCTTCTCCAACGATCGCCTGTCGCTCAATGTCTTCTGCACGACTTTTCAATGACAACATTTCCTCTAAGATTTCCTTTAGACCCGACGAGTCCTTTTCTTGCTATGCAATAGTTACTCTCACGAGACAAGTCAAAGTTTCAGTCATCTACAAACCTCCATTATGAGACCGAGGTTATGGTAATCTTCGAGATCCTTTGAACAGGAGTCTATGGATTCCAGCTAAAACTAATAAGAAACTTTGCATGCAAAAACTTGAACCTACTTTCTTCGATAGCTGAGCATATTCTCGTGATAGCTTGATTCGACTCTTCAAATTCGTTTCTGTTGCTTCAAAACTCTTCAGTTCTGTTTCCATTTGGTCCAATCTCTTGTGCATATTATCATATTTCAGTAACCTCTTCGCTCTTTCTAGAGCTGCAGCCGCACTTCTTGAGTGGTTCAAGAGTGCCTGTATGAGTTGTGCGTTTTGTTCAGAACTATCCTGCAAGGTCAAGTGATGTGACAAACAACCCAAAAAAATACCAACCTGCTACAAAAGTTACCACAACAGACTCGCCTTGAGGGACAAAAAGCTCGGTAAGCATAGTACATAGTTGAAAAAACCAAACAAATTGACAGCGATCACAATTTTCAAAGATGAAATCTATTTGACTTTAAACAATCCAAGAAATCTAGTTAAGAATGGATATTACACAGCTGAGCATAAACGTTATTTTTCAGTGTTTATTTCAGAGTCGTCAATTACTTTTACTTATATGCATTCGAATTTCCTCAACTAAGCCGAGATCTGGTTTCTATGAAACTCTCTCCCGTCAAGTTTCTTGAAGCCATCTTGGAATATACAGACAACTCAATTATAGAGTTCTGATCAGACTGATGCTTAATATGATTCGGTTGTCTTCTTGACCCCTGTTTATCATGTGAAAAATAAGAAGATGACTTGAGTACTACTCAAACTTCCAAGGCAGGATTTTTGTCCATAATGGTTCTGAAATTGCTGATTTATTCTGCCTGGAATGCTTCTTGTTTTCAAAAGAAAGCCATTCCACACTCTCCAATGCTAACGCAAGTGAAAGTTTGGTCCGAATCAACTCCGAGAGCAAATTTCCCGATTCCTCGCGCTGTAACAAAAGCTGCTTTCGTAAATAATGTATTTGGGTGTCTCTATGATCGCTAGCTTTCCACTCCAAGGACGCCAACTCATCTTGTGAGGGTATTCTGTCTCTTGCGGTTGATGCTTGAGACGCACTAGGTTCACTAGCAAACTTGTCAAGTTTGCCATTCGACGCGAAACTAGGAAGAGTCATTGTCTCTTTTAATTTGTAAACTTCGCCAAATAAGGACCTCACTTGAGACTTGTAGTGCTCTTCCAACTTCCTAAACTGTTCTAGTAACTCCTTATTGGTCTCAACTATTCTCTGCTTGTCTCGAGACGATTCTGAGCCGTTTCCGTCCTTCGGGAAAGTATCGCGAAAGCCTTGTAACTCTGCTCGCAATTTACAAATCTCTGCTTTTTGCATACCTTCAATTAAATAGTTATGTTCCATTTCGCTTCTAATTTCGACAAGATATTTTAGCAGCAGTGAGTTTTCCTCCGTCAACTTCTGTAAAACTCCTTCTCTCACTGCTTTAGAATCGTCAAACGACTGATTTCTTTCACCAAACAGTAAAACACCTTTTGATTGTCTCGGTTTCCTTATATCTTCAGTGCCTAGCGAATATTTCCTTTCACTTGCAAGGAACTTGCATTCTTTGAGGTTACTATTCTTGTCAGGTGAACCAGGAGCATCGGTGGGATTCAATGACAATTTCCTAGGCTCTATTCTCCTAACTTCATTTCCGAATATCCTTCCACTGACTACCTTTTCAAACGCTTTAACGATAGAATCTTTCGAGTCGTTCTCCCAGTCTGACTTGGAGACTTTCCATGAAATAGTCATGAACAACTTCGAACCATCTGACAGTTGAAAGACAGCTTCTTCGTGACTAGGTGAAACTCTTATGAACCTTGACAAGTCAAGGTGCATTTTACCTTGTGTTTTGGGTTCAACTCCTGCCTTTCCAACTCTCCTCAGAAAAAACTTGGCGTACTTCGGAAGAAAATCTCCTTCAACTTTGTTCATGTACAAAGTCACTGGTAAAACAAGCAACTCTCTGAAAGCTACAACACCACTTGAACGATAGGCAAGTTGCACAGAACGACATTCGGTAGAAGAACATAAGCGCTCTCCTCTTTGAACACTAAAAATGAAATCAACTCCAAGAGGAACATTTTCTATTCTATCTATGTAAAACGAAAACTCAAACTGAGTGGACACTTTGCCCAAGTGCTTCAAGGCACGAAGAGCTTTCGTTTTTTCAATAGCCATCCATGAAACTGTGTCGCTTATGATGGCGCCATTACCGCACACGTCATTACTGCATTAGTGGTAGAATGCTACTTCAGTACAAGATACATGGAATCGCAGCTATCTAGCAGCAGTCAAAAGTCAATTTAAAATTATATTTCGACAATACTTTGTTTTTCACTATGTTTCAGTAACTATTCGGTTCTGTATCATTCGTGCACTTCCTTAAACAGCACAACAATTTTATAAGTATAAAGTCTAAAAAAATTACAATATTGAAGTGGCCTAATGGGTTAAACCTATACGGGACTGTGGTCTACATGGTTCGAAAATTACCATGACTCAGAGGTATGATTCTCGCTTAGGGTGCGAGAGGTCCCGGGTTAATTAGCTTCCCGCTCGATTCCCGGCAGTCCCCTATAGTTGTTTTTTTATTCTTCAAACTATGTATTCCAATATTTGTCTGTTTTGCCCTTCTGCAAATGTTGTTTTTGGAGCCAACTCGCTGTTTGGTAGATACAAGTCGTCGAGAAAACGCGAGCATCGTAACTTGAAAGATTCCCGTACTTTGACTTGTTGCAGTAGTGTACAATATCATCAACGAATACACTGTCAACTATTGTCGGTGAAGAGTTGGTTGGATAGAAACCCAAGTTTTATAGATTCACTGGAAAGTGGAACGTGGATCAAGCTAATCTGTGGGGCAAGCTACCAAGACCTACCTTTAATAAGAAATCTCAGTTTCTTATTTACCTTAGCTGGAGTGGATTGCATAGATTGTGCAGCTGATGGTGCTGTAATTCATTCAGTAAAACAGGGAGTGACTGATGCCTTGTCTTATGCTAACCGCCTTTGTATATCTCTACGAAGACCTTTGATAATGATCAGTGTCAATGATGACGAAGACCCTCATTTTAGAAAAGCTTCGTTTGATACATCTAGTTGTCCTCCCAATTGTTCGAAACCTTGCGAGAGAGTATGTCCTGCATCTGCAATCATGTTGCAAAGTGACGAAGCAGGGTTTCTCGTTCCATTCCATCAAGGTGTTATTCAAAACAAATGTTATGGCTGTGGTAGATGTGTTCCAGTTTGTCCGGTTCAGAATATTGAGACCACCTCGTTAACGAGTTGTCATTTTTCAGTTGTAGATAACTTATTAAAGTCCGAGCCAATCGATGCAATAGAAATTCATTCTCGTGCAGAGTCCATACAACATTTTCAACGACTGTGGGACAGTATTGAGCCTATTGTTCAAACCTCTCTATCGCTTGTATCTATCAGTTTTCCAGATGGTGGCAAACACTTGGAAGAGTTTCTTCGTAGTGTTGACCGAATGATTGTTAAAGAGCGTGCGAAATATCAAATAATTTGGCAGACAGATGGAAGACCGATGAGTGGAGATATTGGTAGAGGTACTACATTGGCAACTGTGAAGCTTGCAAAGAAAGTTTTGCATTTTGGTTTGAGAGGCTACATCCAATGTGCTGGTGGAGCCAATAACTATACTGTTTCCGTTTTAGATGAACTGAACTTGAGAGCTAGAGCAGGACCATACCACAAGCACAGTGCCGTGTCCGGGGTTGCTTTTGGGAGTTTTGTAAGAAGAAAACTGATTGAGATGTTTCAAGGAACCTCGCTCGACTACTCAGGCAATGTGGAAAATTTTCCTTGTTTTGAACAAATATGGGACTTCGTGTTCAACCTGGTAAAGTCGATAAAGGAACGCCATTGATTGATTATTTCAACGCAGTTCATAGACATATTTTCATTCTTTTGAATCTATTGTAAAGCCAATCAAGTATGGAAGCTTTGGAGTCTCCAATTGATTTCTTCTAGTCTTAATCCATCCATAGAAGACCTTCTACAGAAGGTCAAATAGACATGAGAACAAATAACGAATTTTCACATGCCAATTGGTTTGTGATTATGACTGGCGTAGATTCTATTGGGTTTCAGTTCACTACTATACACAAACTTGGTTCAACGAAACATTGGTTTCAACAAAAGCAGACGAATACAGTCAATAAAAGTGGACTTAGAAATGTTTTGTGTCTCTCAAAAGCATTAAAGGAGTTGCAGCTTCCAAGACGCGTGCAGCTGGTAGCTTGTGATGTGGACGGTACCATCTTGAACTCCTGGAATGAAGTTCCTGCTGCGAACATAGAGGCTATTAAAAAGGTAATGAACTCTGGCATTCCATTTGTACTTGCAACTGGGTAGGCTATTGTTTTTTGTTCCACAGAGAAAAGATATGAAAGTAGCTAACAAAGGAAGGCTCGAAAAGGAGCTTTAAACTCAGTTCTGGAGATTAAATCGGACTTATCGAGGCATGGAATGGGTGTATTTTTACAAGGTTTATTTGTGACTTCTAAAGATGGTAAAATCTGTCATGAGATGGTTTTAGATACCGAGGTTGCTTTGAAGGTTTGTGAACTGGGAAGAGAACTTGGTATATCCCTCGTTGGTTATGAAAGAGACCGTATTGTTTGTGAAACGAGAAATGAAGAAACTGATAAGGTCATACCCTATCATGAGCCAACCCCAGAGTCTATTGGTCCTTGGAAGGAAGCTTTATTCAACCAAAAGACTAAACTAAACAAGATGATGTTTATGGCGCCTCCTTTGCAGATTGACCAAGTTAGACCCTATATAGCGAAAGTGCTTGGAAAATGCTGTCATATCACCCAAGCAGTTCCTGGTATGTTAGAAGTACTTCCATTCGGTGCTAGCAAGGGAGAAGGCCTTAGGCGTCTTTTATTGTCCCTCAATATTGATCCATCGGAAGTAGTTGCCATTGGTGATGGAGAAAACGACGTTGAAATGTTTCAGTATGTGAAGCAACGTTTTCTTGTTTGAATTTGTAGATTAAACTTGTTTCCAGTTATGTAGTTCATAGCGTTGCAGTGGCAAACGCTTCACCTGCAGTCAAGGCTGCTGCTAAACACGTTACCAAGAGAACGAATAACAACGCCGCAGTAGCAGAAGCATTAGAAACTTTGATTCTAAACAATCCTTATTTAAACTCTGAACAGGGAAGAAAGACCCAGACTGTCAAGTCAACAAGTTGAGGCTTGTCATATGCTTGTGTTTTTTTCTTTTGAAAGAGTATGTACGATGTTCATTGGTGAATAATTTAATATAATAAAGAATCATAAATAGAAGACTTAAAGACTGTTTCAAATAACTTGAAATCCTCATTTTAAAAATGGAATGGGGTTGTATTTCCTATTTAAGAAGGAAAAATCAGTGAAGTTTAAGCAGTTCAGCCTTATGCTCGTTCGCCCAGCTTGCTAAACTGTGACACTGGGGATACAATTCTCTGGCAGTATTCATATCAAACTGCTGTATGTGATTTTTGTCGAACATAATTTGATAGGCGGCAAACATATCTGCAAGATCACTTGCACCTGGAAAAGGCAATCGCTGTAATAAACAAAGTATTCTCAGCAACTATTCCAAAGAAAAACCTAAACCAACCTTATATTCTTCTACAGAAACGGAACGATAAACAACTTTCTTTCCAAAAACTTCTGAAAGAACTTCAGCAATTTTATGAAAATCCATACACAAATGAACCACGTCCAACCTCCTTCTCAAGTAGTCCTGTGGAGATTTCAAAATAGATGCAATAACTCCTCCAAAATCCTGCATACAAGTCAAAAAAATATTTGAAGAATCCATAGGAAGAACAATTTCAAAAGAGCCTGGTACTTGTGAACTCGGCTGCAACCAATAAAACAAGTTTTCAAAATAAGCATACGGGTGAGTCACAATAAAGGGATGACCTTTCTTCTCAATATATTCCTCAATTGCAGCCTTGCTTTCAAAATGGCTTACACGAATCTTATTGCCAGTTAACCTGAAAGCAGAAGGCAAACCACTAAATATTGGAAAGGGCACTCCTGCCTCAACAATAGCGTCTACTAAATTCTTACCACATTGAACTTCCATTTTTTCGGCACCCTCAGGTCTACTTAATAAAGACCAGTAGTCTGTTACACCAAACACTGCATAGGCATCCTTCAGTAACGGAATCAAAGTTTGCCGTGGCTGTAAAAGATCTCCTTTTACGACCTCCACTCCCTTTTTCGCCAAGTTCTGTGCCTTCTCACTATAAACATCTCTCGTAACTGCTCTGATCTTATAACTTCCACTTGCTAATAAGTGACTGACGACACTACCGCCTTGAACCGAACTGAGTAAAATACTCTAAAACAGAGAGAGACATACCTTGGCGTCCAGTAGCACCAAAAACCACAACTTGCTGCATCGTAGAAAAGTTGAGTAGAGTGGGCTCGTTGAACGGAGAATCTTCTTCCCAAATAAACGACGTTTCTCTAGAAAAATGAGCATGGGGGTGCTGAATTTCTAGTCGATAAGCGGCGCAATTTTCCAACTCGAACAGAGAATTTTTAGCTTGAGGAAAACATGGCAGCTTCTTTCACTTCTGGCTTTTCTGCAACGTCAAACTTTCAAGGGAATGATTATTTTTCAAAATCCTACCGTTTCCTGTATTCCTAAGACCTTCGAAAGAAGCCTAGGGGTTTCTTTTTGTTTTGTCACTTTTGTTGTTGAGATTTTCTTTATTTTGTTCAATTGAAGAGTAGTTTTAATGGGTCAGACGGTAGGACGGGACCTTTTTACTAGGAGTTCCTCTAGTGTAGACCTCAAGAACGCGGAGAACCGTAAATTGGACGAGAACGAGTTGGACCAGGCTGCTAGAAGGGTCTTTGAGTGGCTGGACCAGAAGAAAAAAGGGTCTTTGACTCTTCGAGAAGTACGAAACACTGTTCCAGGGTTATATCTTCCACACTCGTTGCCAGCCTTATATTACTTTGACGAAGAAATGGATGGTTCCTTTGACTTTGGCGAGATAGTAAAACTTTTACGTTATTGCAAAAAACAGAAGAAGAGAGTGAAGAAAGAACTTCGAAAAGATCCCGAGAAAGTATCCGTTTTACGAAAGGCCATAGACGAAGGCAAGTTATCGGGTGAAAATGCACTCTGTGCGAGTGAAGTGCGAAAAATTACGAGCTGTAACAAATATCGTTGTGTTTACAAGACACGTAAAAATTTGCAGGGGAATTCCGATAAGGAGGTACTTGAAGTGCCAGATATTCCACCGCGATCTGATTCTATTTCGCCATCCAGCGATAAAACGTTAAGACGCAGTGATTCACTTGTCTCAGAAACGAACGCCGCTATAGAGGCGGCCGCTGTCGTAATGTCTTCAGAGTTGGCAGAACCGGAGGGAAGTTGCTCCAAGATGGAATTTTCAAATAGCTTGAAAGACTCGCAAAGACAGGAAGAAGAGAATAGAAGTCAAAGTGTATCTATGTTTGGCTCTCAGAGGGAGTTTTCTTTTCAATCAACCAACGATATTCTGAAGCAAGATAGTGAGAATCTTAGCCTTAGGAAAGATACTTCGACAACTGCTTCCGGACAGTTAGATAGTACTCCTTTACTAAGTTGCCTTGGCGAAGAGCTATCTTCTGCTGCTCTTAATGCGGCAATGGCAGAAAGAATGATTCAAGACTGCATATCCAATTTGGCGAACCAACTTCATGACTCAGCACACAGGGACAAGTACATGGAATGGCTTTGGAAGTTAACCAATTGTGATAAGAAAGATGTGATATCACTGGAAGAGTTGCACCTGCTTTTGGATGCACTTGAGGAAGATGGTATCAATATTAAAGAACTTATGTTTTGTGATTCTGGAAATCCCAAGGACCCTGTTGATAAAAGAATTATGGATGAATACAATACCGCGCATACTGGATATATGTCGAGAGATGAATTCATGGTTTTGGCTGACTTAGTGGTTCGCGAATATCAAAACTGGCAAGTTCGCCATGTAGAAATTATTGGCGACTATGAGTTGAATCATGTCTTAGGCTATGGTAGCCAAGGCGTCGTTAGATGTGCCACTAAAATTGAGACAGGTGAACGTTTTGCAGCAAAGTTGGTGAAGAGAGGGAAATGTAGTGATCTATCAAGACTGGACAGGGAAATACATGTCATGACAATGCTTGACCATCCAAACATTGTCCGTCTTGAAGAAGTAATAGAGTCGGATGATAATTTGTACTTGATAATGGAATTATGTGGAGGTGGGAGCTTATTCTCGAAGCGCTCATCTCGTTCTGGTTATGTTAACCCTTTGGATGAAGATACTGCTCGTTTCTATTTGCGCCAACTTTTTGAGGGTCTTGCTTACTGCCATGAAAGAGGCGTTGCACACCGCGATCTTCGTTTGGATAACCTAATGCTGGATAACGATGGAAACTTAAAGATCACTGATTTTGGACACGCTGGAGTTTTCAAAAAGGGATGGGATCTCTTTTCAACAACTCTTGTTGGCTCACTGTATCACTTGTCTCCGGAGCAGATAAAGGGTGTTTGTTATTCCGGTGAGAAAATCGATGTCTGGAGCTCTGGAGTAGTTGTCTACTGTCTTTTGGTCGGACAGCCACCTTTTAGGGCAAATGATGTATCGGAGCTTCTGAATGACATCGTTCAGGGTAATTATGAGATGCCAAATGATCTGAGTCCAGAAGCGCAACACCTGATACAGAGCTTGTTGCAAATTGATCCGGAAAAACGTCCAACTTGTCGGGAAGTTCTCAGTATGAAATGGTTCCATATTGGTCCGGAGAGACGGCTTATTTTAAATGTGTTTGAGTTGCCTTTACCAGAAAGCTGGTGTTGTCTAAGTAGCACAGAAGTTCAAGAGAAAACAATCGCCTTATTGAAGGAATTGGATATTCATCAGCACCCGGCAGACATACCGTATAACCGAAGGCTTTGCAGAGGACAAGATTGGAGTTTGAAGTGTTATTATCCTCATGATGGGCTAAAGTTTTACGTGAGTCTTTTTACAAGTCCTCCAGTTTCCCCAGTATCATCTGCTGCCACTAGTGAGAACGATGAAGTTGATTCTGCAGCTTTGTTGAAGGAACTTTGTTTGGATGGCTACTCTGCAGAGGTGGAAGCAAATCGAAATACGTCGTTTAACAACACAGATAGTCCCATTTCCATGGATACAGGAGTCTACACTACTGCTGAAAGTGTTTTGAGTACTGTCAAGCCTGCGTCTTGTCATTATCGGGAGGACAATGTTCCTTCGGTTGAATACCATTTTCAGTCTGTTTTTGAACCTTTTATTGAATTCCGTCATAGAGATGGCAGTTGTCAACGTTTTTCGGAAGTCGTGCGTCAATTTGAAAAAATGGCTCTGGAAAATTGGCGGAAGTAGTGTTTAGGAATTGGAAAGTGTTTGACTTCTTTGAGAGTAACACAATAAATTGTAGTGTTGCTATTTTTTGGAATAACTTTTCATGTCAGAGAGTCGTTTACTTGAAGATAACTTGGGGTGCAGTGTTATATTCTTGTGAAGTGAAATAGGTACTGACTCGTCTTAGTACTCCCGTAGTCCTACATGTTTATGACCTAATCCATCCAGACGAAGTAGAACGACTGCGGAAGGTTAACAACTACTTAATACTTTTCGGACTGGGTTTCTTTCATAGTGGTGTTGAAGTGAGTATTTTGAAGCTTTTACTGGAAAAAATATTAACTTGTTGCACTTGCTAGATATTTGGTAAAGAGTATAGCTTTGGTGCAAACAATAGTATGGAGACAGGAGTTTTCAGTGTCCCTCCAAAACAAACAGTTGGAGCTATATATCGTCAGAGCATTCTCATAGGTGAGACTTTGTACTCCGAACACGAAGTGGAGCACCTTATTCGTATTGTTGCAGCAGAATATCCTGGGAGTTCATATTCCTTGTTTTACAACAACTGTAATCACTTTAGTAATGACTTGTGTGAAAGGTTATGTGGAAAGTCAATTCCTAAGTGGATAAATAGACTTGCTTTTTTGGCAAGTTATATTCCCTGTATTAGGACACAAAATGAAGAGTATGATGAAGATATGGATACACCACTGATAACAAGACAAATTATTCCACCGACAGCGGTATAAACAAGGCTTAGGAGCTTAGATTGTGTTAGTTGATGTTGCTTATAAGAACCAGGATTAAGTAGAAACGACTTACAAGATACTATCTCTTAAATATTTAAAGTATTTCTTTTTCTTCTCTGTTTGTTTTAAAGGTATTACAAGTCGCATTGATTTCTTAATAACATGTTTCGAATGACATGTCTTTTTGTGTGGATATACTCAAACCCGCATTCCATTATTCTTTCTTTATGGGGCACTCGGACGGAAGTGCTCCACAGGGACTGGTAAGCAATCATTGCTATGACTAAGACTTTACAAATTTTGGTTTCATAGAGTTTAATCCCATTGCTTGTATATAGACAAAACTGTCTGGTTTCTGGCTTATCAGGCTTTGCGTCTGGAGTGAGTAGTTTGCAATGGCTAGTAGTATTCCATCAACTTACTGAATACAAGGCGGTGATAGGAGCTGCGCTTGGCGGTCTTTCTGGAGGCTTAGATGCTTATCGAATGGGCTTTCGTGGTCAGCCGCTTTTGCAAACTATCGTTTCTGTAGCCGGCAATAAGGCCCTCCCGTTTGGAGCTTGGATGGGGGTTTTTTCGGTATGATAGATTATTAATAGCTAATTGACGAAGTTGACAAGTTTAGTTCTCTCGTTGTGTACTTTATGGTGCTGGAATTAGGAATAATTTGGTGAATGCTGCTTCGGCAGGTTTCCTTGCGGGTTGTGCAGCAACTGCCACGCAGATACCTCCAAATTTATGGAGAAATAGTTTGTAATATAAGCAAAACAGGCTGATTTCCCGTGTACTTACAATTTGTGTGTATATATTTTTAGGCATTTGATGGGAAATAACGGTATCATGTCTGGTGCTTTCGCTGCTTTTATTCCTTTAGTGTTTCAGGCAGTTCGGTTTTGATAACATTCGGAAGAGTTGAAGAGCTGAACAAAGAAAACGTTTAAAGTCTTTCAGTAACTGACATAAAACGCTAGGCTCTTTCTTTTAGTTGGGTTCCCTCGAGAATATTTTTATTTTCGAATAGAAAATATCAAAACGCATAACAACCCACACTTCCTGCAACAACTACATATAGCTCTTTATACCATCTTCCAAAGCATCAATTCTTGCCCCAGCAACTTCATAAATACTCTTCTTCCCTTTTATAAATTTGAAAGTTGGAACAGCTCGAATACCGAAAGATTTCATTATTTTCTAAAAGTCTATTGGTGAATAGATAGTCCTTCGTATCTCTGTACTTACGTTGGTTTCCCCGCTCTTATCCCCAACAACCTTCAAAAATAACACTTGTTGATATTTTTCGCTGAGTTCCTCGAATTTGGGAGCGACCACTTTACAGGGCCCACACCAAGTAGTAGAAAAATCTACGATGGTAAGCTTGGATCCTGCCTTTTCTAGTTCTTGATCTAGTTGATCTTGAGAGTCTATCTCCGTCACAGTCGCTTTTACTTTTAGAGGAGAGTTGACTCTATATTGTCTTGACTGTAAATAGATCTTGATATGCCTCGTGGAAACTCTACTGCGAAAAAGTTTATGCGATACGTTAGATTGTGACGCCAAGTTCACTCCTGACAAACGTGGTCCTCGTTAGAAGCAAACTTTTGCAGGGTTCAACTTACCACGATGTGAACAACGAGAACAAAAAGGAGTGGAGGTTGTACTTGTAAACAATTGAGAAACCACCACACCGTGAACCTTTTGTACTGTATGGCTAAGCGGTTGAGCTACGAAACACTCGATGACTTTATTTTGGGAGCTCATATTAAATCCCACAACAAACAATCAAATCTTTGGGAAAAAGGAATGGAAAGGGAACTAAACTACTTGAAAGTTATCTCTCTCTCTCTTTCTTTTTCTTTCCTTATCGAGATAGAGTTCATTTATTACCCCTTTCAATTATGTCAACTATATAAAAATCTTAAAAGTGAGAATGGTGTCTTCACTCCCTTCTCAGCAGTTCTGATATTGAATCAGCTGTTACATACTACAAACAGTCAAACTACTGCCTCTCTGTTCTTTCAAGTTCTACAAGTTGCTCTTAAGACTCCCCTCTCCGTTACAGCTTCTTTACTATTAGAATAGAACTAACTTTAAATTTTGTGGATAGCAAGCTTTGTCTCAACTTGGAAGGTGATTATCATCATGTATTACTTGAGTCGTAAGTGACAAGCTCATTGCTGGCTGTACTTGTGAATATATATATATATATATGCAACTCAAAAGAAGAGGAAGTGGGAATAAGTTTTATACCAGAATATCGACAAACCAGTTCACTAACAATCATTTCCATTGTGTTGCTTCAAATTGGGTTATAAAGCAACGTATATTCTCTTTGAGACCTTCTGTGGAGAGCAATCGAAAATGAGACTTTAGAGTCAAATAGCTAATTCTCCTCGACATATTTATTGTTTATAACAAGGAGATGCATTGATATCTCAAAACATACCTTGAAAAGATCCATATTTAGTTTGTCTTTCTTGAACTGCTGTTTTGATTATGATTTCTATAGAAGGAATTCTGCATAAAGTTTCTAACCAATGTAGAAAACACATCATTGTGATCTTTCTGCCACGCTGGTTCTTTGTATTGTGCAGTTTTTACTTCATCTGTTTCCTTCTTACGCCGATATAGTTTTGAAGCATTAGAAACGATAGAACTTTTTCCTTGAGGAAGCATAGCTTTGGTAGTAAGGTCTTGATTCAGCAATTGAGGAATTCGACTTTCTGATGTTCTTATCGGTTGGTTCAGCTTGGCATTGTCCTTTTCGTCAGTTTCGTCGTTATTCTTTTCGTCTTGAGGTTTCTTTTTGTCCTGAGATGATGTCGTTTCATGAGATGATCCGATTGGAATCGTTGTTTCTTGTTTCTTGTTAGAATGAGCCGAACTATGAATCGTTCCAATCGCATGTCCTTGGCTGTCCCTTAAAATGACACTCGGTTGTTGCATAGCAGACTGACTACCATTTGATAACTGATGATTGGACAAAAATGTCCTCCTTTTCACAAAGTTTTTCGAGTTGTCAGCCCGAACTTTGGAAGATGTATTATGTTTTGTTGAGATTAACTTGTTGTCTCTCTCCGCTGTACTTTCCTTGACTTCCTCTTCATCATGAACCGCCCAGAGAAAACTATCATCCTCAAAAATATCCTTTTCTGTGTTTTCTTTTGGTTCAGACAGTTTTTCGTAAGATTCTCTGTGAGGTTTGTTGTTCCTCTCCAACGAAAGTTTTCTGTTGGATACGGGTACGATATCTGAAGCATTCATCGCCAACATTTGTGCAAAACGACTAGATAAAGAACTTTCTGGTGAATGAGATGACCCAAGTGACTTGGTTACTATCTTTTTAGATATACTGCCAATATTCAAAGCTTCATCTTCATTGCCATTTTCTACTTGACTCATTTGTATCTTTTCATCATCATTATCTTCGTCGTCTTGATTGTCCTCTTCTGTCGGACTCTAAACAAAAACTCAATCATTCCATACCACTATGCTTGGCAACCATCTTACCTCGTCATCTTCATACAAATATTCCGAAAACATATGAATGGTGGCAACATCAGAGGAAATGATTCCACCCATGATTTGGTCAAAGTCCACTCCAAGCGTATCGACTTGAAGCTTGTTGGACTTCCTCTCCTCATTTGAGTAAATGGGATGACTTCCTCCTATTTCCGTGGCTTGGATTTCATTTTCTATTTGCAAATCATGGTCACGAATTCTCTCGAAACTAGAAAGAACGTCATCGTCGATAATTTCGAACAATTCATTCTCGTATTCTTCTAACATCGTGGCTAAAGTATTGCCTAGAGGAATGAGATGACCCATGTAACTTTTCCTTATATGATGTTGTTGTTCCTAAAGCCAATAGAAGGTGTCATTTGACGCCCATTCAAAACAAGTAGTAGTACTGACCGAAATAAAATTCAACTCCCAAGCATCAATAAACCAAGAAAAGAGGCGACATTCTAAAATCCACAATTTCTGACAAATGCTGAGCTCGGCATCCGTCTTCTGGAGTGTAAAAGACAATAGTGCAGCCACTTGATGTTGCAAAATGTTGCACATATCGCATTCCACAAATAAGGTCAATAGAAGCTGCGGAACTTGAAAATTGAAAATTTCTATGATCGTATCCTACATTCAAGACATATATGCCATGGAAAAGAGCGATGGAAAAACGATAAGCTCACCTTACTACAAGTCACTAAACAAATTAAAAAAAACTCGGCAATTTTCAATCGTAGGCCTCCCAAACGAGGTTTCTGTTTCAATTTGTTCTTCTCTTGGTCATTATTCATCGAAAGAAGACTTGCAAGTTGACCAAATTTGGGAACAATCTCTGCCTCAATTTCGAAGACAAGTCTCTCGGTGTCTTTGGAACATTCCCATATTCCTTGTTGAACAAACTGAAGCAAGATTGCGGTAGAATAGCGATCATCAGCATTCCATCTATCATTCTTTGAACCTAGTACTAGACTTCCAAGTATCTCATAAATGATAGTTAAAGCATTCATCAGTACAGGAGAGTACCAGCTATCATTCAGACACTCTAAGTTGTTATTTGCCTCTGCCAATCCATAGCTTAATAATGATCCTAACAGCGAAATTTCGCAAAGAATGTCAAGTTCAGGAGGAATTGCGATATATTCACGATAGGGAATGGTTCTTAAAGCTAGACCAAGGAATACAAAAGCAGCATTATGGATAGTTTCCTGTCTTTGAGTCTCAGTCAAATGGGATAGAGAGTTAGGAAGAAATTTTTCTGCAAGATGATGTAAAAGAAAATAATCATTCACATAGCAACAATGAATAGTCATTTCCTGAGCACTTTCTGTGGAAGAATCACATCCTTCTGTAAATGGGAGAGGTGGAAGGTGTAGCTGCAATAAAAAGTTGGCCAGTGGATAGAAATGAATTTTCTCTAGCAAAGAGTCTAATATCCAGGAGTTTCTCTGAACGTAGTCTAAAATAGTTTCCTAATGAAAGATAATAGAGGAGAAAATTAAAGGATACATTTGACTATATAAATAATAAATTATATACCTCATAGATTTGACAAAATGTTGACGCAATTTTTGCAAAAATGTTTACTGCAGCAGGTTCAAGATCCTTGTCAGGTTTTCTCAAAAAGTTGAAAAACAAACTCAGCGTATCGTCATTAAGAGCGCCAGAACTAGCCAGAGAAAGACATTCCATAGATAATATTTCGGAAATCACAAACGGAAACTATTTCAAGTTGAAACATTATCAAGTATTACAGGGACTTGGAAATCACTTACCTTGTACTTGAACTTGTTTGAATCGACCTCCATACCTGCGGGAAACTCAACAGTTTCTATTACCAAACATATTAACACCTATAGAGCAACTTGATCAAAAGCATATAGGACGCTATTGCATACTCAACTTACTTGTACTGTAGAAGGTGTCGAGAGAAAAGTGACGAGAGTCTCATTTTCTGCTTTTATTTCTGAAATTAAGCCGTCATAATCGAGCAAGTCAACTATTTTTTCAAAGGAACTTTGGAATTCCTTCCTCGACAGAATCTTATTCGTTGTATCAGTATTCAAATGGTTAAAGTCGTTTTTCTTCCTCCATTTGCCTTTTCCTTTGTTTCTTTTGTTTTTTGATTTCTTTGTTACTCCTTGGTTACTTGTTGTATCCTGACTGTCTAAACTTGATGCACTATCATTAGATACTTCAGAAGTATAAGAATTAGAGTCCATAGAAGACATGATTCTTGTTCCAATACGATACAAAAAGCATGGACAGCTAAATGACGAGACAGCGAATTTCTTTGGAGGGAAGATGCTCAACACCAATTGCTGTCTATGAACAATTTCTATGGTTCAGCGAGCTCGTTGGAATGTCCCTGTTTGAGGTGAATAGGTCCCTACTCTATATAGTATGAACGGTTAAACCGTTGGTTTGAAGTGACCGTTTCACAAATATCGAGGACAACTCGAATCTTTGAACAACAAAAGAAGATATTTTGGAAATAGACGTTTGCTTTCCAGAATATTTATTTTTGACTTGGCTCAAAAATTTGAACATTTCCACAAGACAAAGTCTTTCCGCAATGTTAGTCGAGTCCTTATCTTTGAGTAAACTTCACACGTCACTTGCTTCTTTTCTATATTTGGTTATATGCAAAGGTCCATAGTTGGCTTTATTCCATACTTTGAATGCGATAGGAGCCTTAATGAAGTTTTCTCAGGTCATATAACTCACAACGAACAAATTTCAACTTCACACAAGTCTCAAGCACCACCCTTGTCTCAACTTTTTACTCAAAAGTGACGCGAGTTTATTTGTTTCCACAATCATTTCTGGAGGCTCAAAAACAATTAGTTTTATACACTTTGAAAACTTCTACTTGTTTCTTTGACTTTTTGCTGGTCAATGTATCTTCGTAACCCTATCGAAGAAAATCCTTCGCAGTCAGTCAACTTGTCCGTCGAAGATTTGTAATTATATTCGATGACGAATTGTGCCATTCAGCAACATGCAGAGTTGTTCCGGGTTGACTAGAAGAATGAATAAACGCGCTCACCAACTGAAACCAGTAGACTTTTTGGTCTTGTTGGGTAGAAAATCCTTACGTGAGAAAACAGTTTCTGTCAGCACCGGGGACTCTGTTTCAAAAATATTACGATACAAGAACCCTTTTCCTTCTGAAGGGCGGCTGTTGGATCCACTTGTAAATGGCTCCCGGCTACAACGCGCGGAATATTCTATAGAACAAAGTCGAAAAGCCTATTATTACGAAACTGTCTTTGGGAACTCTTTAAGGTTTGACAAAGGTCTACTGGAGATTTTGAAAATCGAAAAACAAGCAAGACTGGATTCTGTCAATTTGAAAAAGCTTTCGCAAAACAGAGTTCTTGTTGGTGTCGTGAATCAGAAAAGACTTCTTTCTCGTTATCACATTGGAGAAAAACGAACAGTTTCCTGCTTTACTTCTAACAAAAAGAGAACCTTTGTCTCGTATCCACGAGGCCAGTCTTGGTTTCAAAAACTTAAAGTTTGTCTAGACTTGCTTCGACTCGATTTTTGTTGAGTTTTTTTCTGTAGGAAAGTCTACAACGATTGGCCACTTCAGTTGTGAACTACATTCGAAAGTTACCTAAACTGCTATGGAATGTAACTAAACAAGGTTTGACGTTTTTAGCCAAAAACTTATGGGCAGTAAGTATTTATTGCTTAAGAAGAGAACTTAAAGTTTGAGCGTAGCTTCTAAGGCTGTCAAGAATCCAAAGCTTGTCGTTGAGTGGTACAAGACGGCACGAGAGTGGACCGTCGATTTTGTTAAACACTTTTGGACAGGTTGCAAGTTATTGGCGGTTAGTATCTCGCTTTTGATTTTTGTTTCCGATATAATGAAATAAAAATAGGCAGACGTGAGAGTGAGTTATGGGATTTTGAAGAGAGCAACTCAAGGAAAGCCCTTGAGTCGACGTGAACGGAACTTATTGGTAGGAACAGGAGCGGATCTGGCCAGGTTGATCCCCTTTTCATTCTTTGTTATCGTTCCTTTTATGGAATTTGCCCTACCTTTTGCTTTAAAAGTATGATGGGTTCCTATTTATTGATATTTTAGTTCGTTCTAAAGTTGATTTGTTGTAGCTATTTCCCAATATGATTCCTAGCCAATTTCAAGACAGAATGAAAAAGGAAGAAGAACTAAAGAAACAACTCAAGGTAAATATCTTTGGATAGTGAAAAGATTCAATCATAACTGCTGTGGATAGCTTCGCCTAGAGATGGCAAGATATCTGCAAGATGTTGTGGAAGAGAAAGCAAAAAAGATAAAGTCTTCTTCAGAGAAGGATTCTGTGAGTATTTTTGTAGTTTGGATATTAGAAACAGAAAGCTGATATATTTTGACAGGAAATAAGAAACGAAGCAGAAGAATTGACTCGATTTCTTCAACAAATACGTTCCGGAAAGAGTGTGGAAAGACATGCAGTATTACACTTTTCTCGCTTATTTTCAGACGAAATCACTTTAGAAGGCTTAGTGCGGTAAGTTTTCTTTGAAATGGATAATTGAACATGCTCAACTTCGAGAATAGGCCTCAGCTTGTGGCCATGTGCCGTTATATGGGCATTAGTCCTCAAGGAAGTGATAATTTTCTTCGTTATCGACTGCGTGCTCGTTTGAATAGTATTAAGAATGATGACATGCAGATCATGTGGGAAGTAAGTGTGTTATAGAGTGTTTGGAGACTTTTGACTTGTTTTGACAGGGTGGAGTTTCTTCCTTGACTGACGAAGAAGTTGTCAAAGCTTGTCGTGACCGTGGCATTCGTACAGCTGGAGTTTCTATGCGGCAGTTAAGACAACAACTTGAGGATTGGCTGGAGCTATCTCAGAATAAGGAAGTACCATCCTCGTTAATGATTCTTTCCCGTGCATTCTTTTATACAGAAGTTCCAGAAGAAGCATTGAAAGAGACCCTTTCTAGTATGCCTGACAATGTGCTGGATGACATTCGTTATACTGTTTCTAGTAGTAGTGAGAAGCATGAGATGACTAGTGAAGAACGTTTGGCGGAAGTTCGTCGTCAAGAGAGATTACTACAGATGGAAAGAGAAAGGGAAGCTCGAATGGATACCGAGAAGAAGAAAAAGGTTACCACCAGTATATCGGAAGCAGCTGCTGCTGTTGCTGCTGCCAAAGAGGAAGCACGAAAGGCTGCAGAGTCTGCCAAGGCTGTTGCAAATCGCGCTTCTCAAGTATTTCAAGTTGTGGAAGATGTAACAGAGCATGTGGCAAGCACTGAAACATCCAAAGCATCGTCAAGTGCTGCATCGTCGAGTCCACAAACTGCCCAAGAACATGAACTTGAACATAAAGAGTCACTTTTAGCATCGTTGGCTAGGTCGTTCGAAGATTTGATTCATGCTTCAGCTGTGGAAGATGAAAGACTTGAATTGGAGCAAATCAAAGCGGAATTGAGAGAAGCCGAGTCGAAACTAAGCAGTGCTTTGGATGACAAGTCTAAGGAGTTATCTTCTCCCGAGGTGAAGCGTCTAAAAACATTTATTGCTAAACTGGAGAAGCAGTTGGAAAGTGCAGATGAGAAGCTTGGAATCAAATTGAAACTATTGGATTTAGACAATGATGGTGTAATGGATATTTCAGAGGTTTGTCAACGATTGTAAAGAGTTACGTTGCTCATTCTGTTTAGGTAAAAGAAGCCTGCAGACATTTGGCCACGAATTTTCCAGAAGATATTGTAGAAGAAGCAATAGCTCGTTTGGATAAAGACGAAGATGGGAAAATCAATAGGGACGATATAAAAAGGTTGGTTAGAGAAACCACGCATGTCGGTGCCGAGTCTGTCGCCTCATAATACTTGATTTTTTGGATAACAATACCTTTTTTGTTATATTTGACTGTAGAGCTATATGTAGTTGATAGTATATCGATATCATATCTTTTGCCTATCCTCAGAAATACGATGGCAATGAAAGTACATATATGCAAATATATATATATATAGATATACAGATATAGATATGAGTAATATTCGTATTTGGCTTTTTTGGAAATGAACGCGCAATTCTTTTCTCCAATTTGAGAAACAGAATGGAGCCAAGTGACGAGGCATTGTTGTTAGTTTGTTCATGCTATAACTGCTCAGTTCTTTTCAACGTCATAACCCATTCTCACGAGTCTCATTATGAGAATATTTTCTCAAATAGATTGGATAGATTATACTGACATGACATTTCTAGTACAATACTTCATGGTTTTCCACATTCTTGTGAAAAGATGCTCATTGACACACAACCAACCAAGCATCAAGTCGTCGTTTCATACTATTCACGAATAAACTTGTTACACTTTATTTACATATCAATAAGTATACCACAATAAAAATGATAATTTGCTATTGCACGATGCAAAAGGAACACGTACTATCTAAAAACAGCTAATGACTCCAACAAATAAAAAACTACATCATTATTTGCAAACATAAAAATACGTATCTATCAACAATATCTATACAAACCATACTTTATCCTTGTCCTTTTCTGCTCTTCCAACTATTCTTCAAAGTTCTCAGTGTCTCCTGTACATATTCCCACTCCTTCTCCATGTGCCTGTATATCTTTCTTCCAAATCTCTCCGTTTTTTCTACATACCTGCCATCTAGCATAGTCGTCAATATCCTTCTACTATTGTTCCAATAGCTTTTCCAAAAGTCTATCAAAGGCAAACCATCGTTCATAGGTTCATAACTACCCCAACGTTGCTGATAACTCGAAAGGCTTTTGTGCTCCGTTTCTCTCTGCTTGTTTGGCTCCTTTTGCCTCTTTTCCTGTTTGCTATTATCTTCTTCTTGTTTTCTAAGTTCAACTGGCTCATTCACAATAGTTCCAAAGTTATCATAATGCTTCAACGTGACTCTCCTCTTTTTGTTATTTTGGTCTGCGGGGTGATTCTTTTGCCACCTTAGAAGAAAGCTCTGTTGCTCACACTTAATATAATCTCTCAGCTGTGAAGAGCATTTGACTTGTTGTTCTACACATTCTGAGAAAGCTTTTAACAGCGTTCCACAGTCCTTGGAGTTGTTAGGTACTGCAGTGGACATGAAAGAATCGCAATCTCCCAAAAGAGAGAAACAAAATGATTTTCAGAATGGTTTTAAATGTTATCGCGTGTTTATAATATACAACTATATTTCTTCAACCTTACTCCATAAAGAGCCGTCAGAACAATCAAAAAAAGTAACAGCGGAACGTTCCTAGGAAGCTTTCTACAATCTCATACAGAACAAACCATACAAACTATTTACCACTGTAGCCAGCCGAACACCGATCGGAGATAAACGCCTACAAACCATTTGGACCTGCTCCCATATCAAAGGACGATCCAAAAAGGAACAAACAATACAATAAAAGTATGGGTTTCTCTATTCTGTTCATCGGTCAACCCATTCAACGCTAAAACAATATCACTCACCACGATCCTTCGTTTCCAAGTACCTGGTTTCCAGACATCAAAATTAACAGAATAGGGAAGTTGCAATTCATTTCGATACGATTTTCGAACGATAAACCCTAGTCTCCTAAGATGTGCATACACCAGAAAACTGGGAAAGTTAGAAGACGCAATTACTCTTCCAAAGCAACACCAACGCATTCCAATCGACTCCGGCTTCTACAGCCAATTGATATGCTAATTGCACAGAAGCTGTTGTTTCACCGACTTGTAATTGAAGTATTCCTATATCCACCAAGAACAACTGATATACCATAATTGATTTATCAGTGATAGACTGATCATCACTCTCATTCTTGCTAGAATCATCTTACCACTTCCAAAGGATCCAAATATTGTTTGGAAGACTCAAAATAACCCAACGTCTGAAATATTTTCCCCTAGAGTTCACTCACAAGCTTAATCATAGTGGACGAATACATAATCTGAATAGGCACCTTGGGAACTTTTACCATCGCCTCAAGTCTCTCTGCATCCCTAAATAATTATAATAGTTGGATGCTATACAAGAGGTAGACTATTACGACATACCAAGTGGCCACGGCCAAGTTTCTTCTTTGTACACGTTTTTCTGAAAATAAAGTGGAAAACAGCTTTCGACGTCGTCTACATATCCATAGGTAAATACTTACATATATCATTTCAATCTTTTTATCCATAACACATACTTACTTTTCAATCTTTTTCCTTTGCTTGGTATCTATATTTCCAGGTTTCAACAGTTGCTCCTTTTTCCCTCTCTTTGGAAGTATTCCTCTATGACCACCCGCTCTCGTCATCAATTCCTTCTGAATAACAACATCGTTTCCATTGTTGTCACTCAGACAACTTAATCATTCAACTTGGATATCCATATATTTATATATATATATATATATATATATATATATTGTTATTAGTAGAATTTCCAATCGTGTTGTAATACAACGACACGACTTTTGGATTGTGTGGATGGATTGGTATGATGTTTCTTCCACTTGGTGATGCGTTTCAAGGAAAGAAGAAAAGTGTATGGAGTCCTCTTATTGATCGACCAAAACATCCAATCCACAACTCGGGCACATATCGTCCTATTACGCGAAGTATCCTTATGTGTAGGCTTCCATCTGAGAACAAAGAAAGCCGTAATGTCAGCCAACCATCAAAAGTATATGTGGAAGCACAAAGCAACACTAACGGAACTTTTAAGCCTTTCTTAAATGGTCACCAATATGATTCCATCATTTGGTCTGTGGCTGTTCCTTCTTATGCTTCTATGCTGTTAGACCCGCTATCAGCTCTCGTAGATACAATGTACGTAGGTAGATTGGGTAGCATTCCTTTGGGAGGTGTAGGTTTGAGTAATACTATTTTCGGCTATTTTACATTTTTGTTCTTTTTTCTCGTCATTACTACGACTTCTTCTGTAGCCGCTGCAGCTGCGGGAAATGACAAGACTGAAATATCCAAAGTTATATGTCACTCTATTTGGATAGCTTTGGCATTCGGAACCCTTGTTTCCATATTGATTATCGTATATGCTCCTAGTATTCTTTATAAAGTAGGAGCAGCTCCTGCAATGATTCCTTCAGCTGCCTCTTATTTAAGAGTAAGGGCAACTGCTGCGCCTATCATTTTGATATTTTATGTATTGTCTGGAGCTTTTAGAGGATTGCAAGATTTGAAAAAATCAGTATATGCTTCTGTTATCTCCAACTTGGTTAACCTTTGCTTGGATCCCATTTTTATGTTCTCTATGCAACTGGGAGTAACTGGAGCTGCATTGGCTACTGCAGTATCTCAAGCAGCTTCTACAAGTAAGAATACATTGATTGTAGACCATTGAAATATTCTTTGATATCATTTTAGTTGTCTTATTTTATTTTCTTGTCCAACAAGGCCACTTAAAACTTTCACATTTCTTTCCACTTCCCAGTCGACATGAAATATTGACCGTCTTGCGACCAGGATTATCCATCTCCATGAGAAGTATATTTGATCGATCATCTTTTGCACTTGCCACTTCCAAAGGAGCAAGTTTGGGTATTCATGAAGCAGCTTCTGTGGAAATTGTAAAACAAATATGGGTAGTAGTGGGTACTAGTTGGTGGCCATTAGGTGTTGCTGCACAAAGGTAAGTTATGAAGTTATAATCCTTTGAATAAACGTGTAGATAAAGGGATAGTCTGATTGCCAACTATTGGGTGGCTCGTGATGGAAAACAACATATGAGAATACTGTCTTATAGAATATTACAATGGGGTTTACGAATTAGTATTATAATAGCATTATGCGTTGCTTTATCTTGTCACTTTCTACCTCGTCTATTTACAAATGATCCTCGAGTCTTGCATATATCTCCTAGTAAGTGTAGTCTTTCCATATTGTTGTTATAGAAATATGCTTAACAGGCAATGCTTTATAGAATTGTTATTGATTGCTGCCTTCTTTATGCCATTTTCAGCCATTTCTAATATTCTCGATGGTATTCTATCTGCTTGGAGAGATTATGATTATACTGCCAAAGCTATTATGGTTGCTAGTATAGGTTGTGTCTCTTCATTGTTTATTTTACTTCACATTTGGCGAACTATATATAGTGTTTGGTTCTCCATAGGTGTTTTGGTGGTGGGACGTTGTTTGTTGTTATTTTATCGATATCATACTTTGGGAAAAGAATAGTCACTAGTCTTTATGTTGTGTGATATATCGATATCCTAAAGTGGGATGGGTCTCCTCTCCAACACAACTCTCTTGTTTCTTCTTCTTCTCTCCCATCAACTCCTGTATATGGTATTCTTCAAATAACTTTTTGTCACTATCTCAAGGTGCACGACTTACCTCGTACAAGTCGTCATCTAGTATTTGTGCAAGACTTGGAACAAACAACAGAAATACAATACCTACAAAAACCAACCAGAAAATGGGACTTTTCAACCAATTCATTATTGATGGTGGTTGAGGAGCTCCAACTTGTTGTACTGCACCAACCAAAATATTCCTAGTGACTTCGAAAGAGTCATCAAGCACAATGGAACGATTCCAAGTTAGCAACTCCTTGTACACAAGTTCACAGCCTGTTGCTTGTAGTACAACAACTTGGGTTGAAAAAGGGATGTCCACTGCAGTGGAAAAACTTGACTTATCTGACACTGGAAGTAGAGTACAACGTGCATCATAACACAGAGTTACAAACTTTATCAAGGAACAAGGAGGTGATAGTTGGCCAACCAATATGATCCACTTTCCCACTACTTTTGAACAAAATAATAACAAAATGATCCATATTCCTTCTTTGCCAATACTCATTTAACCCGCAAGTTTACGTTCTCTATTCATCACACTCTCATCCAATCGAATCATAAAAATAGTTACGGTGAAAGCAAGTCGACTCTTCTCTTCTCGATGAATATAATGTGCAGATACGGAAGCAGTCTAGATATTTTTCCACTCAGTAAATAACACTCTATATATCCAAGTATGACTTCTTACAAATCCTGCACTATCGAGAGCACCTCTTATAATTCCTGCCATGAACGCTGCACAGTTCAATTGACCAAAGTCTTTGGGAACACTTATATAACGATTCACCAAAGGTTCTTCTTCTTCTATATAATCTATTCACAAAAAGTTTCCAACAATGTGGCAGTAGTAAGTTACTGTGTCCACTTACACTCGTCTTCTCGATCAGTTACTTTCTTTAAATAGTCTGCAGACTTTTTAAACAAAAACTTCCAAAGTTGAACTCGTATAAATCCAAGAATACTAACGAGTCGTATTTCTCTGCGATTCAACTTTTCTCTAAAAGCGCCCATAAGTTGTTATGAAAACACTATTCACCTTTCTCACCGGAAACATAAAAGTTCAAGAGCTCGTTGTCCCACTCGATAGCCTAGTTGATTGAGTTTCTCTTCTAATTCTGATACTTGTTGGACTCTTGTTTGTAAATATTGCACTGCTTCTGCGAAGAGAAACGAAAACGTGGACAAATATAGTTCCTCTCTACTCTATGTCCATTAGCTTTCAATACTTGAGTTGCAAGTACAACTTACTCGTGTAAGTGGACGATCCAATATATTCCATTTGGCTATTTCACTATTACTCACAGTTGTATGAGTAGGTTTTGTGGCACTTGGTTGGGTAAAACGTCGAAGTTCCATCTTCAACCACAACAAGCAATGATATTCATGATTCTATGCAAACTTGTTTATTCCATAGAGATAATGAGATACTCTTTTATCAACAACAAGAAGAGAGAGAAAACAAAGTGATGAATATGGATAAGATATATCAACATTTCACACATATAGTAGGGTTTTCTTTTGTATATTCTTTTGATGTCGTCGTACTTTGGAATGATGGGGTGGAAACCTTTCCATTCTACAACTCCTTTTCTATGGAACCGAATAAAACTATTCTGTACTGCTTCTTCAAGTCGTTGGAAGATACAACGTCGCAAGGACTTGTATGCTCAAGCAGCTTACAACGAAGGTCTTCGAAGTCGTGCAGCTTATAAACTTTTGGAGATGATGGAACAGTTTCATTTCATTCAACAGGTAGTTGTGGTTGAAAGTTCCATCATTCAGGTTTCTACTATTCGCTTTTATAGACATCAGTAGTTGTGGATTTAGGTGCTGCACCTGGCGGTTGGTCCCTGGTTGCCAAACAATATTTAGAACTTTGTTCCAAAGTACCTTGGAAAGTTCCTTTAGATGAACTTGCCAGTGTTCCGCAAGTTAATGTTATGCGTTCAACAGGAAGACTAGTCCGTCGAACTCGTGGAAGGGTAAATGAACTGGAACCTTGTGTTGGTGGATTCTCATCTTGTTTAGTTGATATCGGTGGATATTTCAGATATGGAACCCATTGCAGGTGCCACTTTTATTCAAGGTGACTTTTGTGAACAAGAGACACAACAGCGTATTACCAAAGTATTGTATGGTGATGAAGTCGATGTTGTCTTGAGTGATATGTGTCCCAATACTAGTGGAGTGAAAGAACTGGATCATGAACGTATTATAGGTTAGTACATATCGTTGAAAGATGGATTATTCCTCCCTCATATGTAATTGTAGAATTGGCTTTTTCAGCATCTCATTTTGCTATTCATCATTTATGTAATGGAGGTACATTTTTATGCAAAATATTTCAAGGTGCTCAAGAAAAACGTTTGAATACCTTTTTGGAGGAACATTTCGTCCAAGTAAAACGTATAAGACCAAAAGCTTCCAAGAGTGAATCTTCCGAGGTAGTTCATATACTTGATATTCTTTCTTGGATATGAAATATGTGTAGTGTTATATATTGGCAAGTGGATTTGTGCCAATTCATTTGAGTCCTAGTCCATGATGATTCGGCGATGATGATGATGTCCGAGGCACAAGAAGAAAGAGAGAAAGGTAAGTTTGGAAGATGGAGTCATAAATGGAAATATGTATGTGTCGCTAGTTTATAGGCAATGTATAGACACTTTGTTTTCACGTTGGACTGCCTTGCGTTTGGCTTTAGAACATTGGAATAGACCAACGGATGAAGGTCAAGCACTTTTGGAAACTCTTCAACAAGCCATTATACAGGCAGCTCAAGATAACGAATTGAATACAGAGTTCTTGGAAACTTTATTTGAAGAGGCCTTTGATATTCTTCAGGTGGATGTAGAGGACGATAGCATAGAACAAGTTTCCTGTTTGTTGTTTGATTTAGGGAAAGACTGTTTACAAGGAAATATGGAAATAGTGAATACTTTTTTGATTCAGAGACCACTTCATACTGGAGCAACTTTTTCTAGTGGTTTGGATAGTTCAGTTTCAGAGATTGTTAGGAACCACCAAACCTCAACGACGATGTGTATTGGTGCCTCAGAGGAAAGTATGTCCACGGAGCTTACAACGAGTGCTTTCATGACCGACGAGGACGGATTCCAAAGGGTACAACGAAGACATCGAAAGCGATAAAATATACGACAAGGTAAGTTGGGATAAGAAACGGGAGGTGCTATATATGATGAAGTTATGGAGCTCCCTCTACCGAAAATCATAACGAGTGAGGAATTCCAACATATCCGGAATCATATGTGTTTTTCTGAATTTATAGACAACTCTCCTAGTGTCCCTTGTTTATTCCCAATATATAACTATTCTTGTAGGTAATATATTCCTTCATTTCCAATTCTCAGCAGCTCTTTGCAAGATGTAGTCCTGAAGAAGAATACCTTGTTACAGCCACTAGAAATATCCATAGACAACTTACGGATAGTAAACTTATTTCTTCATCGTTGAGTTTGTTCGCATAACCAGGCATAGCGCCCTATAAGTAGTTTTCTTAAGTCATCTAAAAAAAGAATATTTCTATCATACCTTTCCTTGTTTGGTCAAGTCACTGATGGACTCCTTGTTCAAGTATCCATTCTTTTCAAGTGCCTTTGGAAACAGCGTTTTATTCCTAGCATAAAATATTATATTCCCACCGTTATTATGACAAGCTGCACAGTTTTGTTCAAATAGAGTATTGGCTTGATTGAAAGCTGTGATGGATAAAGGTTCCTGAATAGAAAGACTGGAACAAGTTATCACTGAAAAACAACAATCACGCAACGACGAAGTATTCACGAGTGACCGTTTATACTTCCACGAATAAAGACAAGTCTTTTTAGCAATCCATCGTTTATGCACGATTACCACAAAACAAAGTGAACATTCTCCTCTTTGTTGACTCATCATCATCATACGTTGACAAATGCTTGTGCCACATTCTTCTTACTTAGGCTCTCGTTTCCATTTGTTCCAATTCATTCAACTTGTCTTTCGTAGATATACTAGTATGGTTAGGTGATTTGGTTATATATGAAAAGTACATATTCCAGCCAATGTTCACTGCATTGATATAAGCTACTCTTAAATCCACAGGAATAAAACGTAAATTAAGAAACTGAGCAGGATACCAAAATACCCAAGTTTTCCAAATAATAGAACTACTACAAGTCTTTGCCTAGAAAACACAGCCTATATGAAAATAGTAGATAGGTATATAGACTCTCTTGGTTACCCTTTGGATCCCCACACGTAGAGGATTTCCAGAAGCTACAGCATCATAAATAAAAAACAAAATGGTATATACAGGAGTCATAAAGCCTTGGTCTATGACAACAGAACACAATGCTCTCCAATGAGAAGAAGATGGTTGAAACAACTCTATAAAGGAGTGCCAGAAATGCAATAAAGGGGCACCCACACAAGCTCCTATTCAAACAAGTGAGTTACTATGACAAAGTTCTCAATAAAGCATACCCCATAACGCAAATCGGAATATCCTCTTCCCATTCAGTTTTCTCTCAGTAATACATTGTGCGAACAAGTCACTTGTAGAGAAAAGGAAAAGACTGGTGATTGCTTTGGTGAGAACAGGTTTCGTTTTCAGCAAGTGCAAATAGGTAATAGATAAACGTTTACAGCCTGTTTGAATGAAAAGAGTAACTTTTTCAGTTTTGAATAAGAAAGTACAGTAGAGAATAACCATAAGACAAAACAATAGAAACAACGTTCTATAAATGAGAAGAATTGGCATTCTCCTTCAACAACAGTTGCTTTTGGTCCAAAGTGAATTTTATAAACTGCTCCCATAAAACATCATCAACTTATATAACCCACAATAATAACAATATCAACAGTTTCTTTCCATAAATTCTAAAGCATTGCCATCGCAATCTCTACAAAAGATAGCTTTACGACCACTCATACTATACGTAAAAGGATGTCCCATTTGTTCCAATCTCTCTACAAGAGCACTCAAATTCTCAACCTAACGTCTTCAATGACTCAGTCCAACAATACAATAAAAGAATACTTACTTCAAGAGCAATATGTCGATCCCGACCTCCATGAACTGGTCTTCCAGTTTTGGGATCTACACTGGGCAACTCCATCAAATGTATTTGTTGTTGCGGTCCCACTCGAATAAAAGCACCTTTGTAAGGTAAATTGGGCCTCTCCATAGAAGCATCTTCCATTCCAAGAACTATTGTATAAAAGTTCAAGGCTCTTTCCGTGTTCTCCACTAATATACCTGCGTGTTGTATACCAACAAAACCAATCTGTCTCCTCTCAGCACTAGTGCAACATCGAAAACAACGACTTGCTGTTTTATGTACTCGTATTTTATTCTTATGAAATAGGCTATGGTGTTGAAAGGGTTTGAAACTCTTCACGAGTACTACAAAGCCAATCATTTCGTTTTCTTCCCTTCACAAAAATTCTCCTTTTGCCATCCTTAGAAAAAGTGAGTTTTGTTGATGATGTACTTGTTTCTAGTGATGTGTGTAATATTCGAATTGAGAAATAACTCAAGACAAGTATAAAATGTCGAAAGAAACTACGTTTTCTGCGGTACCTGTCCTTCCTAAAGAGTTTCTAGTTGGCTGGGGAAGAAACGATAGTGGACAGTAGGTCACTTTACCTCGTTGGTTGGATCAAGCCAACCTTGTCTAGACTAGGATCAACAATAGATGACGAAAACCAACAAGTGAATAAAGCTCAAGTGCTTGTTGATTTTGGAATTGCCGGAGATGTCGTTCAGAGTATTGCTTGTGGATTTTCTTCTACAGTCGTTTGCTTTAACGACAATAGTCTATATGTGAATGGTGGTATATATAGTAAGTATTATTTTCTTTCTAAAATAGTCTTTTATTCATTCCAAAAACCAATCTCATGATTAGATCAAACTGCAACCAACAGACAAGAACCTATCCGAATACAGTCTCCTTATACCAGAGAAAGAACACAAAGTATTGCCTGTGGAGAAGACTTTGTCATACTTGCAACTCAGAGTGGTACTCTAGTTACTTGGGGAGGTGGTGCTTATGGTCAACTGGGACGTGGAGCCCCAATGGACTGGAGTGGACCTCATCCAGTTAAGAACTTGCAGAATAAAAGAGTTGTCAAAGTTGCTGCAGGGGCTTTTCATTGGTTGGCGCTAACAGATGCTGGACAAGTATATTCCTGTGGATTAGGAAGACATGGTCAAACTGGTTTAGGGAATTGTGAGGATGTATATGAACCTTGTCTCGTTGAGGCTCTATGGGCACAACCCGTAGTGAATATTGCTGCAGGAGAGAATCATTCCATCGTTATCACAAGTACAGGATTCGCTTTTGCTTTTGGTTCCAACAAATATGGTCAGTTGGGAATATCAAGACAAAGATTGCCTGAATCAGAAACAAGAGCAGAACTACCTCTAAGAATATATATGCCACAAGAATTGGCTTCAGAACGATTTCTTGCTGCAGCTTGTGGTACTCATCACACGTTGTTTCTTACCTCAAATGGTAAGGTTTTGGCTTGTGGTTCCGGTCAAGATGGAGTTCTAGGAATAGGAAACAATAAGGATGAAGTTTGTCTAGTTGTTATTTTCAGTCTATTCGAATACACTATCGTACAAATTGCTGCAGGTGCAAGACATTCTGCTGCTCTATCTAGTCAAGGAGAGTTATTTCTTTGGGGTTCCAATGAACAAGGACAACTAGGCTTTGTAGAGCCTACTTGTGTATTTTCACTACCTACTCAAATGGATACCAACATTATTTTTAAAGACTCTTTTGAAAAAGAAGAGTCATCTTCATATTTCTTTTTGAAAATAGCGACTGGTGCTTATCATACAATTGGTTTGATTGGCAAAGAAAAAGAAAAGTGTGCATCTAGTCCTTTTGAAATCTATCCAAGCTATTTGATGAACCTGACAAGCATGCAGTGGTCTTCTGTACGTGACTTGTTACCTTTGCAAAAGAGACTTTCTGCAGCATCTATATTTAGTCATTCGTTTCTATATGGTACAGTTACGGGTACAGACTCCTCTGAAAAACATGGGAGATGGCGTTCTATTAATCCTTATATATTTCCTTTTATCAATTGGAATACTGCTATAGGAAAGAATAATAACCAAGTTAACGAGAATGCTTCTTATGTACAAGACTCCAACTTATTGACTTCCGTTGTGTCGAAACCAGAATTGTTTATTCAGGCTACTGCAGTGGAATCCTTCTACAAAGAGTTGTTGAGTGTTCATGGTTCCAATGCCGCAGAACTACTAACTTTTATTTCCAAGGAGATTATTTCTCAAGCCGAAAACATGTTGACTTTCCGTATAAGAGAGAAAGCGGAACAAGGAAACCATTCCACAACTGTCGCTATTGAAAGCACTGGCTCTGATTTAAAGAGCAAAGTATCTTCTCGTCAAGGTACAGCTCGAAATTATCCGTGACCTGCTTTGGTTTTGATATGTCTTTTGATGAATCCTGTACTGAGTGTTCCAGGTACAGGAAAACAGCTATTAACTAGACTATGTCTTATCATTGCAAGTCTCAAGTTGGGAGCACAACGTAGAATAGTATCTGCAGTTAGTCGGTTTCCAGCAGAACTGGTTGCTGTTCGACTGGTCCGTCCTTTGCATAGTATTATTGACTCGGAATTGAATGAAGTTCGTCGAATTACAGAAAGGGCTATAGCTGCTACAAGAGTACTAGGTTTGTTCTATGCAGCATCCGAACTAAACGGTTGGCGCTATGCTATCTTACCTCGACAGGAATTCTATAATCACTCAGTGAGTGACTTGGTAGATTTGAAGGAGGATTACAACCGTTGGCTCTATAGTATGGAAAATTCCAGTTCTGGAAAATCACTTTTTTCTTTTTGTGCACATTCCTATGTTTTAGATGAAGCTGCGAAAGCCAGAGTATTGCATGCAGAAGCAAGAGAAGCAATGAAGTCCGAAGTTGTTCGTTCGTTATGGATGAACTCACAGGCAGTCGTAGTTGGTCCCTGGGGAATTCCATTTATTGCAGGGACAGATTCTCCCTATTGTTATTTGCATGTTCGAAGAGCTAGTCTAGTGCAAGATGCATTGAGTGTGATATCCAATGCAGATCCTCGAGAGTTGCGAAAACCTTTAAGAGTACGAGACAAGTTGGAATTGTGGTATTCTTTTTCTTATTCTTTGTCTTTTTAGGTTGTCTTCTTAGGAGAAGAAGGTGTAGATGAGGGTGGTCTTCAAAAGGAATTTTTTCAGTTGATTACTGCGGAACTGTTTTCTGCCGATTATGGAATGTTTGTATATAATGAGAAGACTCGTTTTCATTGGTTTCGAGTCGATTCATTGGAAGTGGATGATAACTTCAAGTTGGTTGGAATTATTATTGGAATGGCATTATATAATGGGGTTATCTTGGACCTCCATTTTCCTTTGCTTGTGTACAAGAAGTTGTTGAATTGGTCTCCTGATTTGGATGATGTGAAAGAAGCCTTTCCAGAGATTGGCAATTCTCTGCAAGCCATGTTGGATTATGAAGAAGATGATATGGAACAAGTGTTTATGACTACCTTTGCTATACAATACGAGTTCTTTGGTGAGCTCCGTACTTGGGAGTTGGTTCCTGGTGGCATTCAAATTTATGTCAATCAGTCCAATAAGGAAGACTTTATTCGGCGTTATATTGAATATTTGACAGATGTATCTATTCATTCACAGTTTGATGCCTTTTCGAAAGGGTTCTTTTGGATGCTAAGTGGTCCTGCTCTCAAGGTTGGAATTGTGTTGTTTTTTGTGCTCACAAGTCTTTCTACTAATCCCTCATTTAGATATTTCGACCAGATGAATTGGAAGTATTGGTCTGTGGGCAGAGACATTTGGATTTTGAAGCTTTGAAACAAGTTACAGTTTATGAAGGTGGTTTTAATGCCGAAAGTCAAGTTATCAAATGGTTTTGGGACATTGTGGATGAAATGACTTTGGAAGAAAAGTTGCATTTGTTATTTTTTGTGACGGGTTCTGATCGAGCACCTGTTGGAGGTTTGGGACAATTGCGATTTGTGATACAACGTGCTGGTCCTGATACTGACAGACTTCCAACATCACATACTTGTTTCAATATATTGTTATTACCTGAATATAGTAGCAAAGAGAAGACACGTAATAGACTTTTGACTGCTATTCAGAATGCTCAAGGATTTGGACTGCAGTAGTCTTAATAAAAGCAGTTGTTCTATACCGAATTATGAAAGCTTAACATACAATAATGCAGCAAACCAAACGTGCAACTGTGCAAAACAAGTGACTTGCTCTGGTTGGGTAATGTCGTATATTATTATTCATATTAATATTATTCTATAGCAAGGACTCTTACTCTTACCTTTCTAGTTGCTGTTTCTAATTTGTTCCTTCTCTGTTGGTGCTCACTTTGGAAAACACTCACTGAGTGGCTTGATTGCCCCTGTTTTAAGTTCTTTGGGCATCAGCACTCAACAGTATGGTTGGTTGTATTCTGTACAAGATTTCCCTGGAATATTTCTGCCTCTGTTAAGTGGTTACATTTCCTTGTTCTTGGACCCTGCAATTGCTGTATTCTTATTTGCTACTCTCATATTTGTAGGTCAGACGTTGTGCATAATTGGAATTGATTTCAAGTCGTTCGTTCTTACGTTGATAGGAAAGGCTTTGTTTGGAATGGGAGATGGCGCGCTGACAGTGGTACAAGGTGTCGTCATTGCTCAACACTTCAAGAAAACCGTTTGCTATGAAGAACGTGTGATACCGATTGGATTGGGTACAGCTTATGGTACTATGATTGCAACCAGCAGAATCACCACCATGTCTTCCGTTTCAGTTCCTCCGTTTATTGCTCAGCACAAGAATTGGGGTGGTTATTCCATGGCGTTATGGTTATCTGTTGGTGTATCTGGTTTTAGTGTGTTGTGTACCTTTGTTTATATGATTTTGGAACGAGGACATTGTTTTGCATTGCATCGCGAGAAGATAACTCCATTACCATTTTGCAAAACTGCCTTTTCTTCCCATGTTGTATATGTTGTATTGATATGGATGTTCGTATCCAGCTCATTGTTTGGATTTCTTCATTTCTCTTCAGATATATTTGTTTCCGAGTTTCATGTTTCTATCAGCATTGCAGCGTTTTTGAACGCAATCATTGCATTTTGTGCTTGTGTTTTGTCACCTTTGCTTGGTCAAATACAGGATCGTTTAGAACGTCCGAAACTATTTTTGTTTTTCAGTTGCTTACTTTTATGTCTTGCGATGACCTTGTTTTGGTGGTTGTTGTATTCCCAAGTGTTTCATAGTTTAGCAGTCTTCTGGGTTCTATTGTTTCCTTGTTTATGTTTAGGTATTGCATTTGCTTTGGGACCTGTGTTATTGCTATCTTGTTTGGTATCCTTTACGAATCAGCAGGTATGGATATCCATTGTTGTTTTGTTTTTTATATCAACTTAATGGAATAAGGAACGTGGTTGGGTACTTGGCGTATACAAAGCGATGGAAAATGTGGGACTCTTAATCACTCAACCATGGGTAAGCAAGGAAACATTTTGTCTCTTAATGGAAAACTGACTTTTGTCAGTTGGGCTATGTAAGAGATAGGAATGGTACTTATGTATTTTCTTTGTTTATTTTTGTTGGATATTCGTTGATAAGTGTGGTGTTATCATACCAGTTGTTGAAGATACCACATGGACCTGAGCATTTGTGACAAAAACCTATGATATTGGATCATCACCATTCTTGGAAACAGCTGTTTGTTTAGTAGAAGATGCATAAATGAAATAGCCAGCACATCTCCGAGGGAATGAAATGAATCCTTTTTGAATCCAAAAAAAAGTGATTGTTGAGGGTTTGTTCATTTTGGGCGCAAAAAACATTTTGAACTTGAGTTGGATATGAAACGAGTGATATCACCACAATAAAGCAACCACCCATGACAAACTATGACCTAGAAAGCGACCCCAAAGGGAGATTTGGTAGAGTATGTTGTTTACGCTGTTGATATTTCAACGAATGGCTGAGCTCTTTCGGTTAGTCTAACAAAGTGGTTCAAACTATTGTATGGGGTGCCGTCTATGAAGCAATAGAGTACAATACCAACCAACTCGTGTGCTGGTACAAAGTCAAAATACATCAAAACTTGTACAAAAAGCTGGAAAAAGTTATCCAGCCTTTTTTAAAAGCCAAACACCCTTCCTTACTTTTTATCTATGCCTTATGGGAGTCCACCACCCAGCAACATGAAAAGAATATGCTTGGTATCGATTTCATCACGCAAGCTACGAGCAAAATCACTTTGAAAGAATATCTAACAGCATTGAGACCACTGAAATTGGACGACTTGTTACTGTGGTCTTTTCAAATCGCCAGTGCTCTCAACTTTTTGCATTCCCAAGATGATGCTATCGTACATGGAAATGTGAGACCGGAAAATATTTTTTTCTCAATCGACATGCAACAGGTAATGTTGGGTGACTTGCTGTCTTCTTGGCTTTTGAGAGAGGTGACGGGGCCAATAAGGAGACAAACGAATGGCAGCATCGCTTTTGAGCAGCAGTCTTTTGTGATTTCCGAAGAATTGGGACAAGTCTGGGATGAAAAAGATGATGTTTTTGCTTTTGGACTGTGTCTATTCGAAATGGCATCTTCCATAGAGTCAAAAAAAGTGAACAACGTCGAAATCAAAGAACGCCATTATTTAGAAGACTTGGATGCAAGCGACTCTATAAAGGACCATCTAAAGAGGCTCATCAAAAGTTGTTTGGGACCCAAGGAAGTGAGACCTACAGCTAATGAAATTGTGAATGATTCATTATTTTATTATCAGAGACGGGATAAAAAAACTATGGGTCACTCAAATAGTGTGACCACTTGCATGTCGCCGGAACAAAGCGTCACAGATATATCGCCCATGGCCTCTTCGAAGCTTCAAGCACATGAAATCGTCGGTTCCCCTTATCATCCTTTCACAGATGTCGGTGCTCCTCGTAGTTTTGCCATTCAAAGAGATTCGCCATCCGGAATTCCAAGATGTTTGGTGGTGCAAAATCAAACCAAAGAACCCACTAAAGCAGTTGGTGATGCGCAGATAGAAGTATTGGCGAGTCCAGAGTCGAAGTACAACAATTGTGTTCGACTTAGTATTCAGATACCTATTGAAGGTTCTTTTAAACGAATAGAGTTCAATTTTGATCCTTTACTGGACTCTCCAGAATCGTTGGCTGAAGAGATGGTGATAGAGCTGAACCTTCATGCATTACAATTTGATGTCATTAAACAGGATATTGAGAAACATTTACAGAGAATTTTAGGCACGTTTCCTACTACTAGTACTACAAATAGTAGTTTGGATGACTGTCAAGTGCAACAGCAATCTAACCATCTAGAAAGCCTCGGCGAGGCGATTTCAGTTGATACAAAAGAAGAAAGCACGCTGAATCTAGTTAGGGATGTTTCTGTATCGACTGATAATATTTCGAGACAAATGTTTACAGAGTCCAGAACAACAGTAGATAGTGACAAAGATTCAAACCCGTTTACTGACATAGACTTGCACTTGTTTTGGGCTTGTATTCATTCAGGAAACAAACAACAAGCTGATTGCTATTTGCAAAAGAATCCTGCACTCGTCCATTTGAAAGATGAGAATCAAAGAACTCCTCTTCACATAGCAGCTGCTGAAGGGTATATGGAACTGGTGAAATTGCTTGTCTCTTATGGAGCACCGTTAGATGTTGCAGATAGATGGGGTCTGACTCCCATTTTAGAAGCAGTTGCGTCGAATCATCAAGCCATCCTTCATTTTTTAAGAAATCAAGTTCAACCCTATAGTCAAGTTAACCGGAAGATACCTTCATTTTATATGATTCCCAGTTATTATCCCATCTTTGATGCTCATTGTCACCTGACTGCACAGGAGTTGGTATCCATTATGTATGGTCAAGATGCCATTATTCTGGATACCAGTGATGAGTCCACCCAATCATCTATACTACATACTGGTACACCATCTCATGCATCATCTTCACCAGCTCTTACGGAATCATCTGATCAACAGCAGTTTAGTTCCCTACGTGAGAGCAGTGAGCAAGTTGGTATGGATACATGCCAAAAATTAAACAAAAGACCTGAAGATGAGAAAGATCATGCCTTGGAACTTCATTATGCTGAATTGAGAAGAATTGAAGAAGAATACAAGCAAAAAAGGGAACAGTTGCATCGTCGTTTTACAGAAGCCAGATCGGAAGTAAGAAGCAAATTGAAACAGGAACCATCGGTATCTACAAACAGTTCACTTGTATCACTATGAAAAGGCGTTTTCATTACATATGTATATTTTCAATAGGACTCAAGTTGTGTAGAATAAAAGATGAAAACTCTCCTCCTTTTTTGTTTTTAGGATTTTGGCCTCATGTGGTTGATCAGTCGGTTACAACTCACCAAGTCATCGTTGATGGAAAACGGGAGGTTGGTTCGTCGTCTACGACGTTTCTCCTCGTCTATGACTCAACAGACCACCGCTGTTCATCCCAAAGTCACCAGCGACACCGACGACACCGCTGCAGTGCATCCTAAAGTACAAAAGCTGGTGGACGAAATCATCGAATTGAATATGATCCAAGTGAAACAGTTGACAGAACAACTCAAGGTGACCTTTTCAAGTTTCTTCAGCATCTCACAACCTCACAACTGTATAGGAACGTTTAGGTGTCAGCGACATGCCCATGATGGCAGCTCCCACCATGTCGATGCCACAAGGAGTTGCCCCTTTTACAGAAACCAAAAAGGAGGAAGCACCCAAAAAGGAGGAGAAAACGGAGTTCTCGTTGAAATTGGAAGCTTTTGAAGCTGCTAAAAAGATCCAGGTCATCAAAGAAGTGAGAGCGTTAGCAGGTCTTGGTTTGAAGGAAGCGAAAGAGTTGGTGGAAGGGGTGCCCAAGGTTCTTAAAACAGGTGTATCCAAGGAAGAAGGTGAAAAAATGCGCGATAAGCTGAAAGAACTAGGTGCAACTGTAGTTTTAGAATAGGTGCTTGCTCTTTCCATAAGGCATAAAATGGTCTTTATCAACCTCTCTTTTCACTGCTGCTCGCTTTCCTCTTTCAAACTACCACCGTGCACTCTTGATCTTCTGGTCGTACACATAATAGCCACCAAAATAACAACCACAAAACAACAATATTCCGGGTAACATAGCGGGGAGATTATCCGATACCTTTCTCCTTGCTTTCGTCATGAGAAGCTTCACATCCGTCAGGTCAGCAAAAAGTTTCTGCTCATTGGGTGAAACAAAATATTCAATAACTCCCTTTATTTTATAAGGAGGTGCCTTGGGTGGCATTGTAGCATACAAAAAACAATATCGAGCAAAATAACGAATCTACCCAAAAGACAACAGGTCTGAGATAAACTCTGACATGCAAGCATGAATGTACTGACAAACAAAAAAACTATCATGTGACAAGTTGCCAAAACGCAAATGAAAAGGATTGGCAATAATGAGATGCAAGCCATAATGTAATTATCTATACGATAAAAATATCAAATAGGAAATTTACTCTTTATCACATCTTGGAAACTCAACTTTTATTATGGTGAAGATACATATATTAAAAACTTTAATAAAAATAAGATGTCAGCAACTCGCACTATCGTTTCGTCACTAGTCGGAAAGAGGCATAATTGAAAGTGCACATGCTAACTTTCGTAATCTGCTTCAAAATAAATTTATATGCTGGTCGTTATTTAACATTCTTAGAAGCCTTGAATGGCTATCTAACGTTGAATTTCAAAAACATAAATCATACAAGCATCGTATCAATAAAGCAATAAATTGTAAACTCACTTTTTGCAGCTCATAGGTTAACTTACTTTTGCTTTCTGGAGCGACAAGTAATTGTGCTTAAAAGTTAATTTACAAAACTTCCAATTTTGTACCTAGCATTTATTAAATTTTTTTTAAAAATAAAACTAAAATCAACACTCAAATAATTATTGCAAGAGATCACAATTTTGCCCCGAGAGGAAAACTAAACCCTTTTCAATTTAATATTTAATTGTGGCCTAAGCCAAAATTAAATTAATTTATTAAACTTTTTAAGTTACGACATGCTCCAATTTCCTTTCGAAGAGCTATTTTAGCTAGAACAAGTGGTCTCTCTAAATTGAAAAATTTGTCGTTCGACAGAAGCAACCAACAATTTTGGCTCCAGTCTTTTGCAGTGTTCTGGATTTCATTCGCGGTACAAATCGATAGAATTCTTTGTATTCCCAATACTTCTATATCCGAGAATAATATAGAATAGAAAATTAAGTTTGATTTTGTTTACAATTGTTTTTTCCTTCTTAGAGAGTATTTGTGGAATCTCAAAAAAAAATTTTTCTTCTTTTCTGCAATAACTGAATAAATTTATCTCGCTTCTCATCAAATCTTTTATTTTCGAAGCGGGCGTAATAACATCAATTTTCTTTGGAGGCTATGTTAAGTTGCACTGATAAGTTTAGTAGAAATTTGTGATTTTTCTGTTACAGATAGATGGTTATTTCTAAAACGATCCTACGCATTTTCAAGCTTAAGAGGTCCACACCTAATTATTTGATGACAGAAATCAAAGTTAGACACGATTATGTCTGGGTAAGTAGTGTTTACGGGTCTTCTAGTTGTCATAATTAAAGTACTTTGTTGAGAAGTAACGCACAAGACTTCAAGCAAAAACTTGAGAAGCAAATTTTAGCGGGACGAAGCGATGCTCAGAAAAAACCCGACTCTGCTCCTGAGGAGTGGGTGGTGAACGAACCCAAGCGTATCACAAAGCCACAAACGGAGGCGCAGAAGAAGCTGGCAGATCTCTTAAAGAGTAGCGTTCCTTCGAAAGAAAGAGTTTCGGACAAGTGAATGAACTATGAAAAGTTTCAGCTGCAAACAAAGCTGGTAGTTTATTATGCAAAATATAAAAACTTCCACCACGTGTTCAGCGATTTGCCTTTGCCACACGCTCTACTTCATCTTTCTTCTTTATGGCATATGAATTGGAAGAGCCCTTCGATGCATTGATTATTTCGTCTGCAAGGCACTCCGAAATTGTTTTCATAGAACGGAAAGATGCTTCCCTGGCACCGGTCGTGATCAAGTATAAGGCAACGTTTACTCTCCGCAAGGGAGAAACGTCAACTGCTTGCCTACGAACTGTACCGGCCGAACCAATCCTTGTAGAATCTTCTCGTGGACCTGCATTCATGACAGCTTGTACAAAAACCTTGAAAAAAATTGAATCCTAAACAATATCAGAATGTTTGCGACTATACCTGCACGGGGTTGGCATCCGTTAACAGGTGAATGATTTCAAAAGCCTGCTTAACGATCCTGACAGCCATCAATTTTTTCCCGTTATTTCTTCCATGCATCATAAGGGAGTTGACTAGACGTTCAACGATTGGGCACTGAGCTTTGCGAAAACGCTTCACTGCATATCTTCCGGCAGTGTGAGGTAAGTAAACTGCATACTTTTGTTTTACTGCGATGTAGTCGTGAAGTGACATGTCATTCACCTCGACGTCTTCAAAAGACCATCGGTTAAATAACTTAACCTCTGTCATCTGAACTCAAGACAAGGACGCAACACCGATGTCTTCAATTCGGCGACGTCGATAGTTGGGAAATGAATGCAAGAGGTAAATTGAAATGATATTAGAGTAGTTGAAGTTGGATTATTTAAATCGTTCTCTATCTATGCTGCATTCATTTATTAGGAAAATGCTTCAGGAATTTTCAATAAATCGTGCTATTTTTTAATTACGATTCTTTCTCTAATAGTATAATAAACAAAGTAGGACAAGTTGCGGAATAGCCTTGTTTGATCATTAAACTGTTATAATTGAGTGGACAGCTATTCTAACTATTGTTCCTGTCCTGTAGGATTGATAAGAATGCTTCATTAAAAGGAACAATTAGGTATTTGGGAAATTTCACTGCGTGGCCGTCGTTTGCTCTACAAATACAATCATGTCAGAGTTGATGTGGCTTCTTGTAAAAGGTCACAATGCCTTTCAAATAAGGAGAAAAGGGGTTACATTGTCAACGGAGAAAGGCAACTTGAAGGGCATCAACTCTTTCAAGTATTCTGGTCTTGCTCAATCGAAGGCCGTAGACATTCAGCCTGCAACCGAAACTTCTGGTATCGCTTACTCAAAGAAACGAACTAAGAAGGATGCTATTGGAAAACCTTCGAAGATGTTTCATACCAAAACTTTGAAAAAGGGATTCCCTCGCTGCACAAGGGTAGTTTTGAAGGAGCTCTCAACATACCGACCAGACCTCAAAAGGATCGCAATAGCAAGAGTTTCCAAAATTATGGCGATTCAGAAAATGAAGAGATTGGGAAAGAAGAGAAAGGTTAAGTTAGGACGATATTCGCGTTCGAAAAAGTAAAAGGAAATAGTTTGTTACAACGTCGACGGAAGACGTTAAAATTCACTTTCGGAAGTAAAGTATCCTTTGATTCTTAATTTTTGTTGTTAGTTGAGTTTTACGTTTTATCGTAGTGTAGCTTTCAACAGCACTTCAATTTTACTTTTATTGAAGCATAACCGCTGTCTCAAGTAACGTCAAATGTTAATTACTCACGGATGGAATACGTGCCAAGTTTGCACATCACTTCTTTTTGTAGTTACTCGGAATGACTCGTACAGTTCTGAGAGGTGAATAGAACCTGTTAGGACGTGACAGTTGCAGCTCTGCACAATTTTCAACGTAAAATAGTCAGAATATAACATAACAAGAAAAAACTTTACTCTTAAGTGACATATTCAAGCAAAATATCCTTCCAGATGATATTCCCTTAAATACTCAGTTTGAGTTTCTGAGTTGAAGGTAAAAAGTAGAAGCCATCGTCTAAACTGAAAGAAAACAAATTTCGAGAAAGATATTTTGTACGGCTTCCTCCACTAAAAACTTCCGCTAGTTCTGGAAGATGATGAAAATTCTTAGTCGTTGTTAAAACAACTTGTAGTACCTATATTTTGGCTACTTGATTCTCTCCCAATTCTGACTCTGCGTAGGCACATTATTTGAAAAACCTGAAGAAATCACTTCAGTTGATGGATGAGGTCCTATCTGAGATGGACTCGGTCCTATCTGTAGATGGAACTCGAGACTATCACAGGCAGAAGTGGACACGACACAGGAGAAGTTACTGGATTCGATGGACTCGGTCCTATCTTAGAAGGACTCGGTCCTATCGTTAGAAGGACTCGAGACGTCACAGGAGAGTTGTACTGGAGACGATCACAGAAGAACTAACTGGAGATGAAGCTTGAGGTCCTATCTGAGATGGACTCGGTCCTATTGTTGGTTGTACTGGAGACGTCACAGGAGAAGTTACTGGAGTTGATGGTTGAGGTCCTATCTGAGATGGACTCGGTCCTATTGTTGGTTGTATTGGAGACGTCACAGGAGAAGTTTCTGGATTTGATGGTTGAGGTCCTATCTTAGAAGAACTTGGTCCTATTGTTGGCTGTACTGGAGACGTCACAGGAGAAGTTACTGGATTTGATGGTTGAGGTCCTATCTTAGATGGACTCGGTCCTATTGTTGGCTGTATTGGAGACGTCACAGGAGAAGTTACTGGATTTGATGGATGAGGTCCTATCTTAGAAGGACTTGGTCCTTTTGTTGGTTGTACTGGAGACGTCACAGGAGAAGTTACTGGATTTGATGGTTGAGGTCCTATCTTAGATGGACTCGGTCCTATTGTTGGTTGTACTGGAAAAGTAACTGGAGTTGATGGCTGAGGTCCTATCTTAGATGGATTCGGTGCATTATTTGGTACTGAAGGTTGAGGGGTATTTTGAGACTTTGGTGTTGGTGCTTTGGGATAAGTTGATACAATTTGAGTTGTTGAGGGAATACTGGAAGTGTAGTGACCGTTTGAGTAATTTTGGACTGTTAAGGGTTTGTTGTTATTCGTCATTTGTTGTTCCTCGTTTGCTTTTTGACCTGTAGACGTTGATGCAAATGAAGGCGCCTCATTATAACTGTTCGGTTTGCCAGTTCCTGAATTTCCGTACTTATTGGGAAGTATTTCAGTGGATGGAATACCGTAGTAACTGCTGGCTTTCCCTGCACTCATAGTTGCGGTTGAATAGCCGTAGGTTTGCGGCTCATAATATGTGTACATTGTATTGGAGTAGTCTGGTTGATTCTTTTCATTTGCACTCTCGGTGTTGACGTAGGAGCTTGGATGTTCTGAGTATTGTGGGAGTTCACATGTCACCGTAAGCAAATCCTCCTCTGTTATGTGACAACACAGGTATCGGCAGGTGTCGTTGTCCGTCGAAACGTCAATCGTTGTCCTGCAGCAGAAATAGTACCCTTCTTTGTTGTTGAGACAACTCAAGTTATTCAACAGTACTTGGTTTCCCCATCGGTTTACACTTGGAGAGGAATTTATGTCGTAGGCGTTTGAACAGTTCATATAAAATCCGTCATGTATCATTTTGCTTTCACACGACTGTGAACTGTTGCAGAGGGACTCGACGATTTTAGTAGTATCACTGATTTCAACGTAGTAGCATTCAGGAATGGTAGAGTACGATACTGTTGAGTACTCTTGAGCTGCTCCTGTAAGTGTTGTTGAACTGTAATCGTACTTTGGAGTAGCGGTAGGGAAACTGAGGGAACCTTTGTTTCCATTGAAAGAACTGAGTAAACTTCCAGAAGCACTTGCTGACGTCTCATACGGTTGTCGTTTGTAACTACAGTTGTTTCTATATTAGTTGATCACAAGCTGGACTCTTTTATACTTACATTTTGTAATGCTGTATCCTTAAGTTGATTGGTATTGCATTTGCTAGTACAAGTAGAGCAAATAACAGCACTAAGATAATCTAATAGTTTTGATGATACACATCGTCTCTTTGCAGGAACCAATTGTATCAGCAAGCAGTTTCATGTCGTCTCTCAGTAAAGCAAGAGAAACCGCCATGCAGCCAATCGAACTGTGCAGGGATGCAGAGAAAGGGCCATGTAGCCAATCGACACTTTGGATGGCTCCTGTGCATTGCTGCGTTCACGTTTCGCATCAAATAATATCACAACAAAAAAAATGGTGCATTGTGATTGGATAATTTAAGTCGTTTCGTTCGCAACGGCCATGGGAGATGATGCACGTGTCTTCGACGGTGGCCTGGCGTGCACTTACCTGTTGTGGTGTAAACCCATCATAGGACTTGTTGTGTGTCCGTCCTGGTTATAGCTATGAACTCGTTGTTCCTATACCTGTTGGACTCAACTATTTTTCTTAAGAAACGAGGTCCAATATATAAAGTTGGGATAGAATCAATGAGAGTTTAGTTGTTATGAATTAACTGCCTCGTATTTAATGGGTACTTATCTATTTTAAACAAATAAAGTGTCATTAGTAACGTTGGTAAATGGTTTTTTCACAAGATAGTAGTTTGTTGTTCCCAATAAAGTGCTTTGGAAGATACAAGTTCATATCTGGCAGCTATCGCCGGCGGTGTCAACGCGATAGTATGTCCTCATTTTCCATCGGAGAGAATCTGACAAGGCAGGTAGACAGAACAAGTGGTCTGGGAATTGAAGCCGAAACAAGAAGCACAAACCTTTATTTTGTAACGTTTCTCAATGTTTCACCCTTTTAATACCAAACTGGTGATGCTTTTGGACCACTAGGCGAACTTGGTCCACTAGGAGCACCTGGAGAGGAAGGTCCACTAGGCGAACTAGGTCCACTAGGAGGAGTAGGTCCACTAGGAGCACCTGGAGAGGAAGGTCCACTAGGCGAACTAGGTCCACTAGGAGGAGTAGGTCCACTAGGAGCACCTGGAGAGGAAGGTCCACTAGGCGAACTAGGTCCACTAGGAGCACCTGGAGAGGAAGGTCCACTTGGCGAACTAGGTCCACTAGGAGGAGTAGGTCCACTAGGAGCACCTGGAGAGGAAGGTCCACTTGGCGAACTTGGTCCACTAGGCGAACTTGGTCCACTAGGAGCACCTGGAGAGGAAGGTCCACTTGGCGAACTAGGTCCACTAGGAGGAGTAGGTCCACTAGGAGCACCTGGAGAGGAAGGTCCACTTGGCGAACTTGGTCCACTAGGAGTAAGTCCACTAGGAGCACCTGGAGAGGAAGGTCCACTTGGCGAACTTGGTCCACTAGGAGTAGGTCCACTAGGAGGAGGACTTGGAGAGTGAGGAACAGTCGTCTGTGTCGAGACTGGTGTTGAAACTGGTGTCGAAACCAACGTCGAGACCAACCTAGAGCTGTTGCAAAGCAATCGGAAGCCGGGGTATGCCGGAGGAACGGCGAGCGAACCACGTGCGACCCACTGCTACCTTCACTAAGAGAACTGACACACTGACTCGTATTTGAGTTGAGTAGCTACAATCAGTGGACTCACTCACGAGGCTATACTGGTAATTGCCTGCGTCACCACTGCTAGAGCCTTGTTGAGAAACACTTGATGTGATACCACTGGAAGAAGTGGATAAGCTTCCAGAGGCAGATCCAGACTCCTCATTCTGTTGACGTTGATATCTATGTTCTTTAAGTTGACAGGAAGTGTTGTTTTAGTTGTATTACTTACTTTTGATTATATTGTACTTTCAAGTTGAAAGGGGCCGCATTTGCTAAAACGATAATAGCTAGCACCAGTATAACACCAGTAGATAGTTTGGAACGCACCATGGTTTTTATCTCAAACAGTTGAAAATGAGGATGATGGAGAGTGCATTCTTTTTAAACCAGTTTTCCTCGAATTACGTGTTGCCTGCTTACTAGTAGAATAGGGTGCCATGTTGTCAATCGACACATCGGCAATTGGCAGGACCACACGCTGGCATGACACGTTGATGATTGCTCCCGATTGGTCAACATATACCATTCATTTTTGCTGTTTCACTTTCGAAACGACACGTAACTTCACGACCCGCTACATATGAATTTTTTAATTTTAATAAATAATTTCTGATTACTGAACTGCCTTTCTTAGTCGTAGCTACAAACTAAAATATTCTTAGAAATGCATTTCTCGATGATCTGTTCATTGCGGTACCTTCTTATTGTCTTTTAGACTTGAAGCAGTACGTTGTATTTCGTTGAGGCTGTTGTTTTTAGTCTCTTCTCTTTTGGCGTCGGATCTTTTCACGACAACATCTTCTTTGTCACAATCCTCTTCGCTAGGACGCTATTTTGAGTTTCATGGTCGAGATGAGAAACAAATTGTGCTCTGACTGTGTTGAAAAGCAAAAAGAATAAATGAATTGATATTCTATTCAAACGATAAATGAAAAAGTTGAGAATAATATTTCCATCCTTCTTTACTGATGTAAAAGCTGAACGAACAGCTTAAAAAAGAGTATAGTTCTAAAATGTGATCCTCCTATTTAAAACTTGAATAAATCCTCTTCTTCATATCCCATATCTATCAGTATGGAATGCATTGCCTTGTTCATAGGAGGTGGTCCACAACGCAATACCTAACAGGATGCTGAGCAGCCAACTCAACCATTGCAATTTCAACCAACCATTTTCTCTCCTCGTTGAGGCATTCCTATATGTTGCTCAATGTGTTCTCGAGTAACGAAACCTACTCCTTGTCTCCAGTTCTCCGGTGGCTAGTTCAACTCTTTAGATGAACAGAATGGCACTCTAGAGTTCGCTTACCTGATTCAAAACAAAAAATACTCGAAATCGAGAATGATTTTTGGCAAACGATTCCAACTCGTCTTTCAAAAGAATATCATCGATCGTGACGTTGGCAAAAATGAGACGAATCACAGTTGTTTCTTGTGGGTCGCTTAAAATAGCTTGAATCAACTATACAGCTTGTGAGAAGAGACTGCATTAAGTTTGCCAGTTACCTGATACATCGGAGTTATCCCTGTGCCACCTGCAATCATACCGATACACTTTCTCATATTGCGAGAATAGGTAAACTTTCCTTTTGGCCCACGTACCCATAAACTATCACCGAGTTTTAAGGAATCGAGGTATCTCGACATGGTTCCATAAGGAGCTGGATACACCTTCGAGAGTAGTTGAGACTGTTTAAAAAATAAAAAGAATAGCGCTGTACCTTGATGAGTAACTCGAAATATCCTTTGGTGTCTTTGGGCGAAATAGGGGTATACGGTCTCGATACTTCCTTATTATCCACCACAGCTTTTACGGAAACGTGATTTCCCAAAGGCAAATTCAATATTGTCTCAGGATCAGCAAAAGCTAAACGAAACTTTCTGGTATTATGGGAAACAATAGTTTTGTCAACCAGAAGAAACTCTCTATACTCCACGGGATCCAGTGGCTCGTTGGTTCTCTTTCTCCTTTGGAATCCAATATAAGAAGCTGCACCAAGTAAAATACCTAACAGTAGTGAGAACACAATAGTGTTGGAACTGCTACCTAAAGACACAAGTTGTTTAATGCTGTCCATATATGGTTTAGGCGTTGCTATCAAATCTGAAATCCGCTCTCCAAGCTCGGTCATGCGTTCCTCATGCGCTGAGTCCACAGGACACTCTTCCATCACTAGAATGTAAACGGCTCACTTTTTCTTCCTATTAACTGGATGATAGAAACTATACGAAGGAACAATGATTTAAGAAAAGAATGTTACTTTCAATTTGCGTATATAATAACAGAAAAAACCGTTACTACTTGAATGATTGATTTTCAGCAATATTCAAACATTGTGAAAACTTTGCGTTTGTTCATCGAGTAAATTATAAAGGAAGAAGAAATGATATTTGTTCTCTCTCCGATACGCGAACAGTTGCACTCCTCATTTTTGTGCACGTTGAGCAAAGTAGGAAATGTTTGGTCACAACTAATGAAAATGACATTTCAATGCCAGTCGATTCTCATTTACACTAGGATTTTCAACTTTGGATAACCTTTTCAAGGCAAAGCTTCAATGGTTGGTCTCCATAGAAAATGAAAACTTTATTCATGCAAATGAAAAGAAAACTCATTCCGTCTCTATAACGCAACTTGTTCTGTATCGCTACTTGATGGCAATGATGATGTAGTTTTGATGAGACTAGCAAACCATTTCTTCCTTCCTTTCCAGTTGACTCGAATGACGACTTGGAAACGATATTCTTTGTTTCTTCCAAAGTCAAACATGTGGTTTCTGGAGCAAGCAACCAAAATTAGAACCAGCCAAGGATTGTGATACCATCACAAAAGCCTATGCCTGGATTTGTCATACTTTCAAAATTCCTCAACATAACTTTGGTTGCAGTAAAAATGAAACTCATATTAGCTAATGTCGACTTTAGATACAAGTCTGATCGATCTCCGAGTTGATAACCCAAGGATTAGGTCCTAAAGAAGAGCTCCAAAACAGTTGATAAAGCACAACTTCGACAGTGTATACAGCTATTCTAGTAGTTAAACCAGAGGTTGAGAAATTCAATCCAACAATGATAATACTTGCGAGTGTTCCTAGTAACAACCCTAATGCAATAGTGGAAAAGAAAAAAGAACCTCCTCCTATCCTACTCAAATATAATGCATCTTGTGCTGAAACTCCAGCTTTCTCATAGATGGTAATGAGATAATACATCATTGCAATGGCACCTGAAAATTGTTGAAAGACAAACATCATAATACCATGAATAGCTGCTTTTCGACGATGAGGAATAATAAAGAAATAAAACCAGATCATTTTACTTTTCGCTTGAGTGAATTCTTCTTCAACTACTACACTTTCCATTTTACAAAATTCCACCTTTTCTTCTGCAACATCGAATCCTCTTATATATTTCCAAGTATCATAACTGGTCAATCTCTTCTTCTTGTGCATCATCCAACTTGGATTTTCTGATAAGAACAAGATATCTGTTCCAAGAATAGTAGAAAAAACGAAAGAGAAGAACCAAACATGAATGTGAAGAAAGGTTACACTGAAGACATAGCTAACCAACTCTCGAGGCCTCCTCCTCGTCATTTCTTTGCTGGACATTTGGAACTATATGGAGGCACTGTTATGTATTCCATTCCAACTCTCAAACCTAATATTATTATTTTTGTTGCTATTCCTGTCATTACAATTCCAAAGGATGAAGCATTGGCTTCTAAAATAGCTCCAGCTATATACAATATACATGAAATAAATATGCTAAACCTTCTCCCTTCTAATTCATTGACAGGCATAGCACTAGAAATGATGAATAAGTATGTATATACTAGAACAACAAAAAGCGACTTACCTTGGTGCACCATCCTATCTCCCAAGTGAAAAGCCACTTATCACTTAAGATTGTTCTAAAGTTTTTCAATTCATATCGACCTTTACATAGAGAAGTGCTCCACTAACGAGGTTCAAGTCTATTCGCACCAAAAGTCCACCAACGCTCGCAAATCCTACTAAGAACCAAAAATAAAGTATTAACCATTTTTAAAAGTACCCGACTTGGCTTTCAACCCAACATTCCGTGTTTATTTCCTCCAACTTTTGGATAGTTTCTTTCCATTCTTCTTGTTCTTGCTCAGAAACTTGTTTCTTGTTTATACTTTCTTTTATCTCTAACACAATCTCAGAATCATTCCCTTCTTTCGATGTCTTGGTTTCATCGTACATATCAATCAAGCTGCTGTCCATATTATTCTTCAGTAGTTCCCCATAGCTTGGGAGTAGCTATCCTTGAAAAGGAATCATGTTGTGTTATTATTCATTGGACTTGCAGCAGAATTCTGGATATCTTTGAAAAGGACTGCAGTGAGATGATGACGTGGACAATGCGAATAATAGACATATTCAAATCATAAGTTGTTTGAAAACGCTCTTTTTACTTCCAACTATCTTATTCAAAACAATATAACAAAGCTTGTTTAAGCAGCTTTATAAGCCAACGCATTCACTTTGCAACGATATAAAAATTGTTCTCTTGCTTTTTCTACGTTTTCAGCTTTACCTTTCCAAGTTTGTAAACAAGTGGCTTGGAGTGCACGACCATAACAAAATGTCAATTGCCAAGGTTGTTTGGTCATTTTCTATTTCACAACCAATATAGTCCACTATTCGAACCAAGAAATAATCCTAAACTTACCGCTTGTCTATGAATAGCTTCCAAATGAGTAGTAGCTTCTTGTTCTGTTTGACCTCCTGAAAGAAAAGCAATACCAGGAACCGAAGCAGGAACCGAATCCAACAAAGTATCCAAAGTATATTTGGCAACTGTGGAAGGATCAGGTTTGGACTTGGCACTCAATCCTGCTAATACCATATTGGGTTTGGCTACCACTCCTATATCGAATGATTTTCATTCCAACGTGAATGGATAAGATTCCTTTCTTCTTACCTTGCAAGTATACTTGATGACGTTTCAGAGAAGAATATATTTCTTCCAATACCATTTTGGATACTTTGGCACAAGTCTCAATGGTATAACTTCCTTCCAATAATACATCGCTTTCGATAATAGGAACCAATCCATATTGTTGGCAAATAGCTGCATAACATCCCACCAACTCTGCATTGGTACTTATAGCTATGGCAGAAGGACTAATATCATCCACAATACGAAAAGCTGGTCTCCATTTGGTAAACTTGGCACCTTTTCTCTGATAAGAAGCACACTGGGTACTCAAACTATCCAATCCTAAAGTGATGGTCTCTTGTGTTGTGCCTGGCAAGATATCGAATCCTTGGTCCACAGTTATGCCTGGTAATATTCCTTTTTCTAATAAAACATCCACAAAACGTTTACCAGTAGAGTCCTAATCAAAAGGAGTGTAAACAAAGGAATCCTGCTTCGTGTGCACAAATCATAGAATACTTGCTTTTTGTTCAAAAGTTTCGCGATGGAGAATAGCAGCAGCTACATATTGTTCCAATCCATGGGTTCCATACAATAGTTCACGATAAGTCCTTCTCGTTTCTTCATTGTTGGCAACTCCTAGTTGTTGAAACTTGGACTCTAACAATTCGGGTGGTTCATCCGAAGCTAGGATACTAGAGATAGAATAAGAAAAAGGAATAATAGTTTTATAGGAAACTTACCCTTTTCCAGGTGTCACCATATAGTCGGCTATCTTCTTCAACTCGTCCATCCTATTCAACCAAGAAAATTCTTTCAAGATATTCTCACAAACAAGGAAATGCTTAGATCGTTGTCCCCGTCCAAGAGACAGAACAAGATAAGAAGAGAAGGAAGAAAGAAAGAGGAAGTGGTTTGTCTGGCTTTGTAAAATTTTTCGGTTTCAATGAATCAACCTAAGAATAACCTTATAGGTATTCATGGATATAATCTAGTTGGTTGTTGGGATCGTACACATTGTGAAAAAGCTCTCAAAGTGGCTTCCCAAATAGGCTATTCTCTAGTAGAAGTACCTGTTATTGATCCCCTATTTGATACTCAAGCGACCAAAGAACTGGCTAAGAAATATGGTTTACAGTTGTCCTGTTCTGTTGGATTATCGGAAGACACAGATATTAGTAGTTTGGATGAGTCTGTGAGGAAACAAGGAGAACAAGTATTGATGACAGCAGTAGAAAGAGCACATACTATTGGCTCTTCTATCGTTTGTGGAGTTATATACAGCAAATTGGGAAAATATCATCGAGCTGCAACTAGACAGAATGTGGAAAATAGTGTGGAGATATTGAGAAGGGTGGCACAAAAGGCTCAGTCTTGGGGAGTGCAACTAGGACTGGAAGTATGCAATAAATATGAAACCAATCTAATCAATACAGCTGGAGATGCCTTGAAAATGATCGAAGCCATTGGAATGCCCAATGTTGTAGTCCATCTGGATGCCTATCATATGAATAGTAAGTATGAGACTGACTGGATAAGTTTAGATAATGGAAATCATTTTTCTAGTTGATGAAAATGATCCTATTGCAGCTATTTACAGTTGTCATAATCGTTTGGGATATTTTCATATTGGAGAATCTCATCGTGGCTATTTAGGAACTGGAAATATTTCATTGAGAAATATGTTTCGTGCATTAGCTCAAGTGGGATATTCGGGTCCTTTGGTATTTGAATCTTTTTCTAATGCAATTGTGAGTCCTTTTGTCACAGAAGCATTGGCTATATGGCGTAATCAATGGGAAGATGGAGAAGAAGTAGCTAAACATGCTCTTGCCTTTGTACAATCCGAATGGTTTGCAGCACAGAAATCCAAAACCACACCACTTTTATCTTATCGGACTTGAAATTCTTCTTCAGTGTTGTGTTGTTTTATAAAGAAGAATGAAAAGAAACTTTGTCATGCAGTCTTCGTTATTCTCCTTGTGTTTTCCTTGGTTATTACTTTCTTTGAGTATTCAGTGTTTGCTTATTCCAAGTTACAAAAGTACAGATATGGATGTTCATCGATATTGGAAAGCTTTGACTTATTCTTATCCTATTCAAAAGTGGTATTCAGATACAACTTCTCAGTGGACTTTGGATTATCCTCCTTTGTTTGCTTGTTTGGAGGTATGTATGTAGGAGGACTTGAGATTGGCATAGAATAGCCCTTTGAGTTTCCATTCTTAGTGGTTTCTTGCACAACTCGTAGCTATTGTGGATAAGCACTTGGTGCAATTGGATCAGCTACAAATTACCACACTCGTTGATGT